CTCCTGAAATTTTCGAGCACTGTCACACGAACTATCTAGATGATGAATATGGAATCTGCTCTATACAAGCATATAGTGAACGTATATTCAGCGGCATAAGCCATTATCGATCTTCATAGACTACACCGAATCAATAAGGAAAATACGCAACTGTATATATTGGTGAATAATCGCTCCTACAGTTATAACTCATGCATTGTATTTTCTCAGCATGCTCTATAGTTGATCAGATGTATGTTATGAAGAACAAAAAGGGTAAGAGATTTTTCCATGTTATTGCCAAACGTTGGATTGAAGAATTTTTCTTTCAAATGTATCCAAGATAAACAAATAAGCCATAGATTGCATATCAGACGACTTTCACTAGGAAAGTGAAAGAAAGAGAAGACAATCTGCCTACTTACGTATGAGTCAGTTATACTTCTCTTTCCAATGAGAATTTTGCGTTTATAGTCAAACTGTCGTAACTAAAAGAAAGAATTTTGATGGCTGCATTAATTCAGAGGACGCAAAACACGCCGACATTCTTTCCAACAAAAACTTTTTAACGAGACAAATTGAAATAAAAATCTTTTTTCTCGTCAGTCATAAGTATTCATTCTTTCATATTCTAGCAAAAATACCTGAACCGAGGATGTCTGAGAATTTTTTTGTTGATAGAAAAGTTCATCATGTATTAGATTTTAATTATTTCAATTTTGTAGAATTAAAATGAAGGTCTCAATTGCAACATCAACCAAAATGGGACGAACTTATAGTCTTGACGTTGAACCATCAACAACAGTGGCACAATTGAAGAAAAAATTTCTACAAGATACAAACGATCCACTAGACACACAACAAACGTATTTTGTGTTCGATGGCGAAATACTTCAAGATGAAAATGATACATTAGCAAGTTACGGTATCGAAGACGACGCTTTATTACATGCTTTTTCTGGAAATGGCGTTAAAAGACTTGATATGGCTAGTTTGGGAATCAAATTTCTTGATGTAAGTGATGGTAAAAATATAAAAATAGTGCAATGGTCAAAAACAGCTCCAGAATGGCGACGTACTCGACATGGCTTATGTCTTCAAGGTATATGCACCAATGTAAACTGTCAAGCCGCTCAACAGCATGTCATAATGCCAATTGGCTATAAGAAATTTGATCTGGTTACTGATCCCGATGAGACAACAACAAAATGTCCTATGTGTGGAAGATTTGTTGCACCTAAATCTTGTGGTTTTAATAATTGTTGGTGGAGATTTCAAGGAAAAAAACAAATCGATGATAATAAACCACCAATCAGTTGCGAATCAGAATGGCAACAGGCAGGTGATGCTTATCATTATTTTGATGATAAGACTACTGGAACGGTTACATGGAGAAAACTTTTTACCATTGAAGCAACAAAGAAAAAGACACTATAGAAAGACAGTGATCTGGGCTTATTCATTGTGAATGTTTGTTTTTCTCGTATTCAATTTTATTTCTCATAGAAATTGCATGAGAAGTTAATACAACAAAAGTCTTTGATTAATTCTCCATGGTACATATCAAATATGTGTGAAAGTAATTAATATGAGATTAATTACACAGCTTATTGTGAGATCTGACAAGTTTGATTTACAATTCACAACACCTTTCAAATTACTCAATAAATCGTCGGCATTTGTACAAGTGCGAAAACAATTATTTGCACTTGAAACTCATCTTAAAGGAAAATCTTTCTTGCTGTTGCAAAGTATATAAATATTCGATTTCTGTTAAAGGTGTTCATGAGATCCAATCACATTCTATTGCTCAATACTTTTGTCTTTCATTACGTTCTCTTATGAATAATTGCATTTGGTGTATGTCTAATAGAATTACAAGTTTCGTATGAGGAGTTACAAAAGAAGTAATACGACAAAACTGTATGAACATCAAACAACTAATTATGCGTACAAGTACTGTGGAATGAAAAGATTATCATATGTGTTTTCCTTTACTTAATATTTGATTTTCTTTTTGGATAAAACAGATCAATGAATAATTGTGTCCAGAACTAGTTAAATGATATATATAAAATCCCTCAAGATATCCACATAAATGAACATAACTCTTTAATGGTATTTGTTTATGGTAACTAATAGCTGAAATATTCATACTTATTTATCAAGAATAACATTTTTTTTCGATTTTTAATTTCAAAAATCATTGAACAGCAAAGGTATAAATAGCTACAGACACAAGCAGAGCCGAATACAATAAAGAGTAGTTATATCTGAGTATAGTAACCATATGTAGCGATACCACACATGCTGTTCTTATTGCGTGCTATTTTGAAATAGCCATTAAGTCCCCAGTTTTCCCCCCCATGAATTGCGTAGAGCTAAAATAATCGATACACATACAAAGATATCTTTCGAAGGGAATTACTTACGCCAATAATCCTTACCAATGTCGGTTCCAAAACCAACAATAGTAATTGCATGATTGATTGCTTTCGAACAAGATGGTATATCAATAATATCTGATGCACCGGCTTGTTCCGATGAACCATAGAATTGTAAATCACCTGTAATGCAGATTCCAGCTGCTAATGGACCATATGTTATTAGAGCCCGTTTCATTTCTTCTTCATCATCATGTGGAGTTGTTCCAAATCCTTGTATACTGCCCATGTTGGCTGATCTAGCATAACATGATTGTTGAGTACCGACATACGGATAAGATGCATCCGATTCTAGGCCACCATTTTGTTTGATATACTGAAAAGTGGTCTCGAAAAAGCCACCGGAACACCCATAATTGGCTGAACAATCAACAATTTGTTGTTGAGAGAGTTGAATGCGTCTACCAGTTTTCAAAGCATAAGTACCTTCGATTGCGGCCGTGACAGAAAATGCATAACAAGATCTAAATACGTTAACACCAAGTCAAGAGAAATCGCGTGTATTCATGAAGATTCTAATCTCAACTCACCCACATTGACCTTGATTCACGATGGGATTCATGTATGGTCGATAATCAATCTTGGACGCAGAAACTCTCTTCGTCGTTGTTCGTCTAGTAGACCTGTCTGATCCATCGAACGTGTTGGAATCATTTCTACCTTTTCCCGGACGGAGTTTTTTCTTGATTTTATCTTTGAATTTGTTAATTTTTTTCTTTACAGAATCGAACAAAAACCGTTTTGGTCGTTGATGTATTGACAATGATTTCACATAGTAATCAACTCGAAGGCCGGTCATTTTCTGACGCATCTCGGATAAATTCATATCACCGAATTCATTTAGATGGAGTTTAAACGACTTAACACCTTTCTCAAAACGAAGATTTTCTTTGATAATAAATTTGAGATTACCAATGAATTTTTCAAGACGATCTTTTTCTTCGCTGACAGATTGATAGACTTTATGATAGGAGTTTTTGTAATGATTCCATAGTTTTAAAACAATTTTATTGTCCTTCAATATCTCGAGTTTATGCTGAAATTTATTTGTTACATCGTTCATCGCCCTTTCAATCGTGCTATCAACGAACTAAATTCGAAAAAAAAGCCGAAGTGCAAACATTAGAAAGGAAATATTCATTGTAGAAAATTCTTACCCCTTGCATTGCTCTACTGCTCATGAACAAAGCATCGTAAACATTAATTGTACAACTGAGTACGAAGAGATTAACAAAGAAAGTGCGCAACATAGTACGGTGAGCAACTCTCCAATGAATGAAAGAAATGGTATCGTCGGATGTGATTGTTCTTTTTCTTCGTGCTCATTGCTACAATCATCTGCGGATCAAATTTCATTAAAAGCCGTTATCTATGCGATTGAATCGATTTAACCAATCAATCCTATCATTGAATGAGATTTATTTTTTCATTCGATCGAGAGTTAAATTCTCAATTTGACACAACTCCCACGTTCTTAGGAGAATGTGGGGCCAACTTCTACATAGTTATCATTGCATTAGCTAATCGAACCTAAACGTCTCAGTACCAGATGAGTACGAGTCATGCTTTTGTAGATCATCGATCGGAAAATATTATTATACTCAAAACACGTTGTTTCTGAATTCATGGGCACCAGGTGTTCGAAACGTCAAGAAAAAGAGAACATTCTTTAAATGTGACTTACTAACACGCGTAAGCAAAAGCATGATTTTCTATTTTTTCAATTACTAAATGATTAAAAAAGAAACACTCGTCGGTTTGTTCTTCTCGGGAACGAGTTCACATTACTTTCTTTTCTGTTGATGTCTATGGGGAATGTTGAAAGTAATTGCATTGTTACTTTTTGTCTCTCTTATCAATGAATACTTGTCGCAAGACATTCAATCGGTTACATTAAGACAATTTATACATTTACAATATCGATGTAATGAAATTGATTGTTTACCATCATTAATCTATCACGTGGAAAGTTTACAAGGTTGTCGAATGATTTGTTTGAATCAAAAGCAATGTCAAGTGGCGACATTCGATCCAGCCATCAATCAATGTGAAATCTTCTTTGAAATATCGATTAAACACGGTGAAATGATGGAGAAAAGCAATGTTTATTCAATCTTCGCAATTGATAATAATGATATCCTCACTCGTAAGTTTCGATCTTATTTCTCATATAAACTTCGTTTTTCTGTGTTCAGCTGTCACAACTGCAACAACATGGACATCAAAGTATGTGAAATCACACAGAAAAGCGTTCTCATGAACGTTTACAATTTAATTTTAACTTGTATTTTCCTCTAGTGTGAACACTCCTGTGCTATCGAATAGTATATCATCAACTGTAACAACTCAAGAAACTACCAGTGGAGTTTAATACACTATTTCAAGTTTATTTCTTAAAAAGTAGTTTAACGGAAGTCATCGAGACTCTTTAGAGACCATTAGCAAAAATGATGTTAAAAACTATTTGTAATCGGTGTCGATATTCTGTGCCATGAATGATTAAAACGTTGCTTAGTTTTGAATTAATAAATCTGTATAATATTGTTGAAATTGTGTTTTCAAAAAATAGTCATGTTTTCAATCCAATGTTATTTCTTCAATATGTTCGTTTTGTTTAAGCCAAGCAACGGTCTTGTCGAACAGACTAACGTAGAACATGCGATCAGAACCAAAGTCAGATTGATGTTCAATTTTGCCGCCTTCTTTCTTAATGATTTCTAGAATCCTTTAATCAATAATTAAACAATTAAATGATCATAATTATCCTAGTAAATACCTGGTGACTTCTACAATGGGTGTTTCATTCTTAAATTTGACGCAGTAGAATTTCTCAACCACTTGTTCTGATGATACTGCTGTCACCCATCCAAGACATGGACGTAGAGCGCTTGTCGTTGGATTTTTGCCAACACCAAAAAATCCAGCGATGAACTTCATCGAGATTGAAGTACCATTATTATTTAAGAAAAAATCTGTTTGAGTAATACTTTCTTCGAGATCACTCAAATTCATCCCATAGATAATGACCTGTGAAGAAAAGAAAGCCGACAATGTTCTTGGAATTGTGTGAAGACTTAAGAAAAAGCATACAAGTTTTTCATCATGACCTTCCCGACAGGCTCGTATGTGCTGACCGTCGTTGTTTATTGTGTACTAAAACAGAATCCGTAGTAAAGTTTTCATACAGATAAACCTTGAGATTCTTACGGGAATAAAAGTTGTTAACCATCCTAATAATATACTGGCACCCGATCTATTTTTATCATGATGGCAAATCCTCTGCCACCAATCAATGTCAGGTGTGCCTTCGGCACTCTCTTTCAACTTTTCGAGATTTGGTAAAAGCGCGTTGAACCACCAATGAAAATCAGTGAGAATTATTTTCAGTTGTTGAACTCGATCGATTAAATCTTGAAAATCAGCAGGCGAACCACGAAGTATTATCTGAGGAACTATACAAGAGAATAACAAATACATGATTTCGTTCATAGACTATTCTTACTGCCGCATGTTGAACTACAATCGAAAACAGTTCCTTCAATCTTAATCGTACTGGAAAATCTTTTGGTGATTACTGTTGACAGATCCATTTCCATGTCCTCCTTAATCATTTGACATATTTCGGAAACAGCTGCAGGCCAGTTGATCGCCGGAACAGATTCGTTTCTACCTGCTGGTCGCTCTGACTCGGGAAAACGAAGTTGATCCACTGACAATACTANTATAATTTCAGAAACTATGCCAAGATGACATATTTTTTCTCTTATCAAAATAATTACATGATGTTGAAAGATTTCATTATATTGTTTTCTTAAATTACATAGGCAAATCGTACAAATACTTCACTAAATCAGCCATGTCATACATCTAGCAGATCGGAGACGCTGAACATGTGACTTTTCTGGAGCAAAATATAAATATAATGATAAAGAAAAAGCCTTTTTATTGGTAATCGAAAATAAAGTTTGTTTTTCTGAAGTCTATTTCGTATCTCCAAACACACAATTTCATAATGAACCCATAAATTCTTTTATATTAATGATCACGTCAGCACACGCTTTTGGATAAATACCTGGAACGGAGAAGAATCCATGAAGGACACCTTTGATGAGGACCAATTTAGTTTGAACCCCAGCTTTATCAAGAAGTTTTTGATATTCTATAAATGAAACAAACAAATTAAGATTTATATACTTTCATATTTTGATTAGTCATGTTCTGTACCGTAACTATCATCATGCAACGGATCCAATTCACTAACGATGAACAAACATGGTGGTAATCCTTCGAAAGATTTATTCTGCATTACAGCAATACGAGGATCATCTAAATCCTTCATATTGTCAAAAGCTGATAATGTCAACCTATGATACCGATGGGAATACACATATCATTATCATATAGTTACTTCATTTACCAGTCTAAGATCTCCGGTGTCAGAAAATACATTTGATGAGTAAATTCTTTATATGATGGTGCCGTTCGATGTAGATCTAAAATACCACTGACTAAAATCTGAACAAAAATCTTCATCTTTATTATCCGAAAATCGTAGAAATTTGAATTCTACCTGAAAATCGATATTTTTCATTGCATGACATAACCCCGCAGCCATTAAAGCGCCACAACTTTCACCAGCAACGCCGACTTTAGCCGACGAATCGACACCTAAATATCGAATAGATAAATTCAAATATAAAACTCATATAATGAATACAACCATAAGATTGTTTATTTTCTATAACATATTTCGTTACTTGATAAACATCATTCCACCAAATAGGAAATTTATACTCTGGTCCACGACGATATTCCACATTAATCCAAATCGTGTTTGTTGCACTAAAAAACCAATGAAACTTGAATAAACTGAAAATATTCTTTGTTACTCAGCAATCATGTTAACCATTGTTTGATGTGTTCGTCGACTATTTACAGTCCAGCCTACACTCAAGATAAAACTATAGATATTTCAAAATGAAAATCATCCGTTTTATTTACCTCCGCCATGAAAAAATATGACCAATTTTGTCTTATCAACATCAACAGGTGTGTAAATCGTTACTGGAATTTCTATATAGATGATAAATGAGTTCGAAAATATTTTTCCATGCAGAATGCCTCTGATATTAACCTGTTGAATTAGCATTGATTAGTTCTTCTTTTTCAGTTCCTTTGAAAGCACCAATAAGTTTTTGATTAACATTTGCATGCAGAGACTCTGATAGTTCACGATTTACATTGACATCGGTTTTGTTTTCTGGTGGAGGTGATTGCATTAATATATTAAGAAAAGCAAGAGCTTCGTCGCTAAATCTCGAATCCCTACTCAACATGAACAGAGTACGAAATATTTTCAATGTTCATTTCATTACACATACATGATGCAGATTGATGGTTTCAATGATCAAAAAATAAAATATGATGAAAAAAATATTTTGTCAAACACAAGCTCTCTACGCTTGCATCGTTATAAACAAATAGAAACGCACAGAGATAAATCTACATCGATTCATTGACGAATGCATTACGAGCGGAGACATCTACTTTTTACTAACGAACCTTTAAAAATAACTAGAACAGAAATTATTGGCCATAGGCAGTTCCGAATTGTATTTTTCTGTTACATATATGAAACCAGTTTCGTTCGAGCGATGGCGCGAGTGTACAACACAGCGCCGAGTTCGATTTGAAGTATTTATAAAAGTCAAGTGAACACATATTTTTGTAGATATCAATTAATAAGAACGAAAAGATGTCTACAAAAAATGAAAAATAACCAATAGTTTCTTGTAAAGTCGATTTTACAAGAACATGAATCGATTCCATCATGGATACAAATTCGAAACTTGACAATTGGACCAATTCACCAACGAAATACTTTCGGAAAAACTATTCAATCTTTCTGCGTAATAAAGCAAAAATAACAAATTATCTATGCTCTTAAATCTGTCCAATTATGAAAACAAAGATAGTGTCAAATATTTGCATAACAATCCCAACAAATACATCCTTTCGAAGCATCATAATCAGCATTCGGAAAATAGTTCGATGCATTACATGATTTGCATTGTCTATGTTGAAACAACTTTTCACATTTCACACATTTGACTCTATTTCCTTCGACATAAGTACAATTCGAAGAATAATTCGCCGTATTGCAATGTGGACATTGTAAATGTTGATATTTTTTCTGACATCGATCACATGTCACAATCCACCCATGTCCATAAGCATATTTTTTTGTAATGCATTGCCATGAATTCATAGCATTGCAATGAAAACATTTGACATATTGTGAAGTAACATCGCATGAAGAACATTTATCTCGAGATCCGTATTGATATGGTGTTTTGAAATATTCAGCAGCACCACATTTGCAACAGTTCAGATGATAAAACGATCGTTTACATGAAAGACAATCTATTAATATATTCTCATGATATTTATTCGATGCATTAACATACAATGCAACGAAACAATATGAACAATTGAGCAATTGATATATTTTCTTGCAATGAAGACATGTTGTTTGATTTCCTTGACGATAAGTAGCAGTTTTGAAGTATTCAATTTCGTGACAATGAGGACAGCGCATCATTTGAAACGGCTTTTTACATCTAAAACATGTTTGTCGTTTTCCATGATAAAAGTTCGTTCCTTTCAAAATATTTGCTGTCGAACAATTTGGACATGCCAAAAGCTGAAATTTTTCTTTACACGACGAACATCGCGTCGATGATCCTTGAACATAATCGGCATTTCTGTACCAATTCGTTACTTTACAATGCGGACAATTGATTTGTTGAAATTTCTTTGAACACGATGTACATTTGACTACACTTCCTTGTTCATATTCCGACTTCAGCCATTTGAGAGGAGTTTTACAATGAAAACAATTGACACATTGAAATATTTTCTTACATGACCCACACGACGTTCGAGTACCTGGAAGATAATCTGCATTCTCCCAAGAACAACGCGCTTGACAATGTGGACAAATAATCTTTTGAAAGATTTTCTTGCAAGATGCGCATGGAATACGTAGACATTCATTGTAACCAAGTGACGGGAAAATAATAGTTTTATTACAATGAGGACAATTTACTTTTTGAAAGTCTTTTTTGCAGTTGGAACATTTTACTCGACTACCTTCAACATGATCTGCATTTTGCCAAATATTTTCCGATGAACAATGCGTACAAATCATCACTTGAAATGGTTTCTTACACGTACAACAATTCACCGTATTTCCTTCGATGTAATTAGCATTGAGGAAATAATTGCATTGGTTACAATGAGGACAATTCAGTTGTTGAAAGGATTTTTGACAATTTGCACAATCCACCTGTCGACTTGAAGCATAAGCGTGAGAATTTTTACAATAATTTGTCTTCTGACAATGAGGACATGTTACTTGTTTAAAATTGGCTTTGCATGAATAACATGTACTTAGGGATCCTTGTTTGTAGTGTAAATAAGTATTCTTTTCTTGACAATGAGGACAAATCAATGTTCTTTGCGGTTCAGCTGAAATATGGAATCGATTTTTAAAAACAAGAGAAATGTTGAGTTTACGATTACTTACAATTATCTTGAACTGGAGATTTAATTGGAGGCAAAACAACCTTTGGCTTCTTTAGTAATGGTGCTTTTGGACTAGTTGGTGATGAATGATCTTTTTTCACTGATACTTTTATTGCAGGAAGTATGGTAAGACTATTTATAAAATTTGGGTTTATTTCTTCTTTAAGATCGATAATATCATGTAAAGGATTCTTTAAAATTCCACTAACGACCAATTTTGTTCCCGGCATGAGAATAATTTCTTGTTCATTAGGCATTGCACTATGTTTCGTGACGGATTTTCCATACAAACAATTAATTGAGAAGATCGTCGTGTGTTTATTATTTGGTAGAAAATGCTCGATGATACCGATATCTGTCGAAGTTGATGATACACCTGTCCATATGAAACGAGTACCTTTTGTATATTGACTGCGAAAATTACCGACAATTCCACGCCAAACGCGTTCTTTTTGTGAAGGTAATTTGTTTAAAGCGGTATGAAAAAGTTTCAAATAGAGAAACCATGCTTTGATGTTTTCAACTACATTTGTTCGTAAAGCTTTGTTTAGTTTAGAATAAAATTCAGTATCCATTGTGTATAGATAAATCGAAGCTGATTCATCTTGTGTAAGTTTGTCTGAAGGAGTTTGACATGCAAGTTTAGCTGTGTTAATATGAACAAGAATATCAGTAACGATATGTAATAAAGGAATAATAGCTTCGCTGAGTGGAACAATTTTGCAAAGAAGATAAGCATCTATTGCTTGCTTAGTATTTAGAGGTTCAATATCAGAAAAACGACTTGGCATTCTATCTAAAACTATAATACTAAACCTTGAATCAGAGAATGATCGTTTAATTTTGGCGAAATTGCATTACTTGACGAAGATATATCGACTACGTTATCGGTGAATTGTAAGGTTCTATGAAGCAACAAAAAAAAACTCGTAAGTGGCTTTTCTTTTATCTTATGTGCAAACATTCTCCATCTTATCTTTTTTTCTCTCAAATACACATATCCATGTCCACGAAAAAAGCACGCACAATTTCATCGCAAAAATATCGCATTCGCTCTTTGATTGGACAACAGTACCTATATGATTTGCACTGAAGTTATTTTCTGCACATGTATTCGAAAGAATATGTCTGTCGTACGTGGAATTGAAACAAATAATAGATGCGATATCTTATCGTTGATCTGCATCATAAAATCAACTATAATCTTTGTAAACATTTGAATATATCGTTAATTTTGTTTCTTAACTCGCGGGAAAGAGCCAGCACATACAATTGATAAAAGAAACATTGAATAATCTGAGAAAACCATCATACAAAATAATAGTTGAATATTTATCGTTCAATGTTTTCGCCATTGAACCACTTGATGTAAACGATATTTTTGCCAAAAGAAAAAGTGCAATTGAAGTATGACTAAATAAAGTTGGTAAATAAACATGGCAATGAATCATAATCGAATATGTTTATTACACCGTGACTATAAAGTACTTGACGAAGTGTTTGTTTGACAAACAAATGATAAAGACAGATAGGATATCTGTTGAAAGGAAAAGCCAAAACCGAATTGAATAAGGAATCAATATTTGAACTGAAGATCTTGAATAAGGTTTTATAATATGAACTTAAGAGAAACAAAGTTCTATTTGTTAATCGTTTCCCTCGGATAATCTAAGAGTTAACCAATCAAAAAATAGAAGCCTGTCAATCAGATTCATTTCTTAAGTCGTATTTACCATTCGTTGAGGCGGATAATCTGAATCTTTGAAGAACTTAATTTATGTTGATAAGAAACTATATGTAAGCATATTTCATATTGATAAAAATATTAGAAAATTGAGAAAGATTTTCTGTTTATATAAATACATATTCTTCTTTTCCCAAAACTCTCCGAAAATCGGTTAGTTGGGCTCAATCGTAGCGCCTTTAAGTTCTCAAGAACTATATTTTCTCGACCAAAAGGACGATCGCATTCGAAAAAAATTAGTTAATATGGAACTCTAATATTTCTACTCAGCATTGTAGAATCTTGTCCTTGCATTCCCGTACCTTAAACGGTAAATCCTTCTATTAACGTTAAAATTATCCATTGCTGAATTCGCTGATTATTCGTATCTTCAATGTAAATAAAACCAGTCTTTGATAAGACTTAAACAGTTGCAAGATCATTCAATTGATGTTGTATATATCACAGACAAATAATGATGAAGTATTTCGATAAAAGAACACACCTCGTCAAGAATCTTAGTGTATATTGTTGAGTTACTACTCACATTATAAATATACATCAATAAAGTAGATGATTAAATACTTTACAAAGTAAGAAACACATATTTTATTTTATCTGAGAAAAAAAATTATAACAGTTTGAATGTGATATTCTTTGTTCTTTTCATGAAATGTGCTTTTTGTGTACTCAAAAAGTGAGTAAACTATAGAATCGGTCAGTATGTCCGTCCGGCCGTTAACCCGATAACTCCTGAACGAATAATCCAACTTTCATGAAATTTGATACATAGCATTATCTTGTAAATGCCTCAGTCGAGTTCGAAGATGAGCCTGATCGGCTGTAATACTACTAACTTACAAAAAAGTTCTCAGATTTTTGTGTGCCATCTGATACATTTTTCGAAGTACACATAACTTTCGGATAAAGTCCGAAGTTTTCGCATTTATTTAATGAATGGAATCGAAATCGACGACCAAGACGACGCTTACACACCACCATCTTGTTATCCAGCATTTGAACCAGTTTGGAGTTTTTTATTAGAAATTTTTTTTCGACAGCCACTTTTTCGTAAAAATTGAGTTGAGTTATTGTTTACGGTATATTGTAATGATATTAGAAATCGCTCTAACCGGAACATGTTGCTTTTTGAAATGGTTTACAGTATGTTTTAAAACTTCTTCGCTTACATTTTAAAAAAAAGTTACAACCACCTTAGCAAGCTCTTCTGAGTGACCTTTTTTGAATGTTCTAGAACATTCTCAACAGCAAACTGCAAGAACTCTGTTAACAACCTAATACATTATAGTTAAAACAATATCATGAAATATAGGCACTACACTAATGGATGGATATTTGCACTTGAGATTCATCAAATAAAACTTAGATGAGAAGTTTTTGAAATCGAAGAAAAAATATCCATTTAAAACTTGAATCATAATAAATAAAAAGTTTAAGGGCATTTTCCTAGTGCTTGACAATTAACAGCATACCATTATTAAATTGAGAAATGCATATTCATTTTTCCATTACAGGCACTGACAACTTCATTACTGCGTTCATTTAACGAACAATCATGATGCGTTATAGCAGTATTATTTTCCTTTTTATTCATGTCCATACCTTATACGCAGATTTCATATCGAATATTAACGTACAAAATCAAGGTTTTGATTTTATTCCTGCTAATCCAATTGAGTTATTTCAAACATATTCATCTGTTTCTTCTGCATTCAAATGTGCTCTTCGATGTCATCAAGATCCTCAATGTCGTACATACGTTTATGATTTGTCCATTTGTCAACTCTATCAAGGCTCTTCTGATACAGGTTCCATTGTTCCATCACCTTCGACTACTCGTATTGTTGGTGCAATCAACTATAAGAACATTAATGTGGCATCAGCTTATAATCAATCATGTGATCATTGTTTTCCTGATCGATATCTTGTCTGTCGAAATAATACATGTCAATGTCCAACAGGTACTTTTTACGATAATCAAGGTCATTGTCTTAATCAACTGTATGCTGATTCAACACTGACATGTGAAGATGATAGTTGGTGTAATCAAGCATTGAATCTAAGCTGTCAATGTGGAAAATGTCAATGTCCAAATGGATATGTTTGGAGAAATAAAACATGTATACCACAATTGATGAGTGGAATATCCTGTAATACAAGTGATGACTGTAGAAAAGATCTTCATCTGATGTGTTCACAAAACAATAAAATATGTATACCACAATTCATGAGTGGAATGTCTTGTAATACAAGTGATCAATGTCGAAATGACCTTAATCTTGTTTGTTCACGCAAAAATAAGACATGTATATGTAAGTATATGATTTATTTTCTCGCCCGACTATCTTTCTCTCTGTCTCATTGTAAGTGTTCAAATACATTTCTTGTTCTTTTTTATAATTCATTTAGCGATGACTGTGGTGCCAATGCCTGTTATGACTGGAACACTTCCTGCCAAGTTCTCCTATGTTGATATGGCATTTAACGTTTCTGGCGAAGAGTGGTGGCGGGCTTTTGATAATAATATTTACAGTTTCTGGAATCGAATGGGTGGTATGAATGTCTTAGATTATATATTTTTAACTTTCAATGACACATATCTCTTGGATTCTATACAACTAACAGTAACTGGTGATATAACTCATGATCCACGAACACTTGGTATGTATATGGATGAGAATGGAACATGTTTAGGTGAATCATTTTGGTTTCCAAAGAGTAACAGTAGCTGGTATACTTATCCAAAATATTATTTCAACAAAAGTGCAAAAGCATTAGTAACAAATCATCTGTTGATGTCTATTGAAAGATGGTCTATATACCAAGTATGCCTTGCGGAGCTAACGTTTTTTGGTGGCTTATATTAAATGATTTTACAACCCTATCAAAGTTCATCGCAACTATAAAAATCTCTCTTCAGCTATACTCCTTATTTACACTCATATTCCGTGTATCCCAATAATTACAAGTCGTCTTTTAATAAATTTATGAACTATCCTTTGAACTATAAATTTTAATAGTCGATGATCTCGCCTCAGTTCTTTCCAGATTCTTGTTTGACATGATTATTAGACAAGACTCGTGTTAATCTTGAAGTTCAAGCAACAATCTTTTTCCTTTTCTTCCCTTCTAAAAAGAATCTTGTCTGAAATTTAAGATGAAAAGAATCTCTTCTGATCGATCAAGATATTAAGAACCTAGAAAGAATTACAAGATGTTCAAGATATTTTGAAAGTTCAAACAAGAATCTTTTTTGTGTACTCAAAAAGTGAGTACACTACTAAAATCGGTCAGTGTGTCCGGCCGTCCGTCCGTTTATCCGATAACTCTAGAAAAATGTGAGCAGTTGACTAAAAATTTTCTTCCGCAGATGCGTCTCATCAATATCTCGGTCGAGTTCGAAGATGAGAAGGATCGGCCAAGAAATGGCTGAGATATGGTAAAAATTCTGAAAAATGACCCCGTTGGTCCTGAGGGAGGGGAGTACGAGGATTTTCAAAAAAAAACTTTTTTCACCACGTATATAGTTACAACCAGTTTTCTGACAGCAAACCAGTCGTGGAATAATTCTCCATAAAGAAACTTTTACGTCTTCATACCCTATACTATGGGGGTATCCATGGGTCCTCAAGTCCGATACTGTGAAGTTGCCCTTAGACCATGAAGGCATTTAATACGAGGGTTCTCTGTGAGCTTTCTATGATATACTATGGCGGTAACCAGGGCTTCTTGTGGGCTGTAACGTGGAGATGCTTTGGGTTCTCGACTGTTAAATTGTGAGAACATTCTCGAGTTTTGCAAGGAATTCCTCTAGCAGTGATGAAATTTTGTCGAGAGTACCGTTGTGGGAATATTCTGGTTGAGTTCTTAAGAATCAGCAGCCGGGACTTGTCTGTTGTGGCTCATTGTATAATCTTGATATAACAGTTAGAGTGCTCTGTAGCTTTAGTGTCATACACTTTTTAGAGTACACATAACGTTCGGATAAAATCCGAAGTTTCCGCATTTATTAATTTTTAAATAAGATCTTGTAAGAATGATTAAATCGTGAATTTTATGTGTGATGACGAAGCATATTTCGGATTAATTTAATCAGTTCTTTTCGATAAAATTTGCTAAATAATGTATAAATATAAAATGAGAACATTTTGTCAACAAGACTCGACAAAATCGATAAAACAAAGATAAGACTATCGACAGATCGCTGTACATCACTTTTAATAATTGATAAAGTCATATTTTGATAAATCTTTGTAGCAAGAAGAGGTGTTATACATAATAAATACATACTAACTTGTATAAATAGCATAGGTAAAATATGTCTATTATTATCTCTCTGCATTTCCGTTGTATTCGCTGTTAATGGTTGAACTCTTTGTTTTTGTTTAATATGAATAAAAGTGCCAATACCAAAGATCAACATCAATATTGGTGGACCAATAGTTTGAAAACAAAGCGTCCAAATTACGTCAACGACGCTACAAATACCAGCTTGAACATTACATGCTGAAATAGCAGCAAATTGATTTGTGTCATAACAATATAAGATTTGTAAATAGACAATGAAAATAAGAAATGTAATCATTGATGAGATTCTAATTGTCATACGCATATTACTGTAACGTCGCATCAATGCATTATGTGATGATGAAAAGAATCGATCAGCACAACAAGCAACCATAAACCAAGTTGAAAGACCAGTTGTGACATAATAAGTAAAGAGTTGGAATTTACAGAGAATTGAAATAGCATTAGCGGGATTGATTTGAAAACCACTAAGCAATCGAAATGGAACAAATCCATAAATAAGGAAGAGATTTACAAAAGAAGCGATGAATAAATAAGGAATACAAGGAGTAAGTGTCCAAAGAGTACGTTTTCGAAATAGAATTATATTCAAGATGTTTCCAATTGTACCAAAGATAATGTATAAAATACAAATTAGAATGATAAGTTTACTCCGAATATCATTGATTAATAATACCGTAGAAGAAGAAGAAGAAGAAGACATTCCTCGATTGATGGGAAATTGCGAATGAACTAACAGGATTCTTTTGATTCTAATAAATGAGAAGAAAATTGTTGGAGCAGAAACACTAAAATTAGAATTGACATTTGAATATCCTTTCATCTCTCATATTCCTATAAAGCTCCATCAAGTAAAATGAAAGTGAGGATTATGCAGTGTATAAAAGGTTAAAGTACAGATAATTATCTCTTTTAAATGAATTTATTTTTGAAATAAAAGTAAATGTCAGTTCGTGTTTTTTTCTTTTGTTTAATAAATAACATTAAAAATGAAGATTCAGCATTAATCTGAACAAATTTTCCTCTTAAATATCGTTACCATTCTGATGATTGATGGCGTATTTTGAAGGATTTTTGAAAAAGATCTTTTCTGCCATAAATATTTAATAAATCATACAAATCCGAATCGCATGGATTTTGAAAATGAAATGAATAAGTTTTTCATTATCAGCTGTATAACACCAATGGGCAGAATTTACTTCTAATACACCATGATATTCCCCTTTTAATAACAGATAATTAGTCGAAATACTACACATTGAATGTGATACAACAATTCATCAATTAAAAGTCGAGAAAAGTTTTCAAAATTTCTCTTTATACAACTTGCATCAGCGATCAATGTTATTAAAACAGCCCAGCATGGTAAATATGATGAGACTTTATCTTCACTGAGCCATTACGTAAATTTACTCCAATGCTGCTTTCAAGACTTTGTGATCTTCAAATGATGACCCATTCTTTCAATCACATCATTTCTATGAATAATCATATTAAATATCGGTTACAGTTCGATAAAGAATCGTTCATATGATCCAATAAGAACAATTGACTATAGTTGGATGACATACAAATGATCTTACGTGATTTTCTTCTTCTGAAATAAAAATATGAAAATATAATCTATCATTTTCCACTCGAAAAATACCGACTAGTGTAAAACATTCAACGATAAAAGCATTTCTCTTTGATAATTTTGTCTTAATGAGCAAAATGACTGCATTCTTTATTATCACATAGTTATGTGTATAGTTATATTTTACCTTTACGAATAGACATCAGTTTACGCCTGGTTGATTTTCTAACGTAAATGAAAGTTTTTCCTTTTATGAGTTTGTGTTTAATGATATTTTAATATCTGATTCATTAAAATAGGATCTGTTGTCATGATTGATATTCAAACGCATTGTCTGATCAGATTCTATTATCAATAAATTTGAAGAAGAGATCGAGGAAATCTTATAATTGAACTTTAAAATGATTGAGTACAAATAATCAGAGGCGAGGAATGTGAATTAGAAGTTAGTTTGATTTTGTCAATGATATACTAAGTCCATTTTCTATCAATATAATTTAATTTAATAATGAAATAAACGAAGTACTCATTGGCAAAAGATAAATTCGAATTCAACCTTCTTAATATGGAAAGAATATTTTAATCAGGACTGCAAGATTCTTTGTTGATATGAAATTGAATAGGTGTTAGTAATTATACTTCGTTTCAAATTGTGTTAAATCAATTAGTACAGAGGTTTTGAAATTCAGCTACGTAATTTCCGAATTGATCGGTTTCAAGGTAATTCGCGTCAAATGCTTAACCGATTTCTTCTCGTACAAAATACTTTGATATCAAACAAAGTCAAGGTCAAATCTTCCGTAAAGTGGTAAAAAATTGCTCATTCGATGTAGTTCGGTCATAACAGCAAAAAAATGTCAACGACTACAATTTTCCTTCCATTAGAATATTCATGGTCGATACCCAATCGACATTATGTGCTTTTATTGTGGTGCGTGGAAGATATTAATTGTTGTTTTGATGTCCTGACTGAATTGAAACAATCCAACTGATCCAAGATTCTTCGTAGGTGATCAATTAACCGTGTTTTCCTGCGCTTGTTCCATCAAGGTAACTTATTCAAAGTGGTATTCCTGAAATTTTCGAGCGCTGTCACACGAACTATCTAGATGATGAATATGAAATCTATCCCATACAAGCATATGCTGAACGTATACTAAGTGGTGTAAGCAATTGTCTATCTTCATAGACAACTGTACATATTGGTGAATAATCGCTTATACAGTTATAACTCATACATTGAGAGCAAAAAGAATAAGAGATTTTTCCATCTTATTGTCAAACGTTGAATTGAAGACTTTTTCTTTCAAATGCATCCAAGATAAACAAGTAAGTCATAGACAGCATATCAGACGACATTCACTAGGAAAGTGAAAGAAAGAAAAAACAATCTGCTTACCTACGTATGAGTCAGTTATACTTCTCCTTCCAATGAGAATTTTGCATTTATAGTCAAACTGTCGTAACTAAAAAAGAGAATTTTGATGGCTGCATTGATTCAGAGGACGCAAAACACACCGACATTCTTTCCAACAAAAACTTTTTTCTCGTCAGTCGTAAGTGTTCATTCATTCATATTCTAGCAAAAATACATGAATCGAGGATGTCTGAGAATTTTTTGTTTATAGAAAGGTTCATCGTGTATTGGATTTTTATTTATTTCGATTTTGTAGAATTAAAATGAAGGTCTCAATTGCAACATCAACCAAAATGGGACGAACTTATATTCTTGACGTTGAACCATCAACAACAGTGGCACAATTGAAGACAAAATTTCTACAAGAAGTAAACGATCTACTAGACACACAACAAACGTATTTTGTATTCGATGGCGAAATACTTCAAGATGAAAATGATACATTAGAAAGTTACGGTATCGAAGACGACGCTTTATTGCATGCTTTTTCTGGGAATGGCGTTAAAAAACGTGCTATGGCTAGTTTGGGAATCAAATTTCTTGATGTAAGTGATGATAAAAGTATAAAAATAGTACAATGGTCGAGAACAGGTCCACAATGGCAACGTACTCGACATGGCTTATGTCTTCAAGGTATATGCACCAATGTAAATTGTCAAGCCGCTCAGCAGCATGTCATAATGCCAATTGGTTATAAGAAATTTGACATGGTTACTGATCCCGATGAAACAACAACAAAATGTCCTATGTGTGGAAGATTTGTTGCACCTAAATCCTGTGGTTTTAATAATTGTTGGTGGAGATTTCAAGGAAAAAAACAAATCGATGATAATAAAGCACCAGTCAGTTGCGAATCGGAATGGCAACAGGCAGGTGATGCTTATCATTATTTTGATGATAAGACTACTGGAACGGTTACATGGAGAAAACTTACTATTGAGGCAACAAAGAAAAAGACACTATAGAAAGACATTGATCTGGCCTTATTCTATTGTGAATGTTTGTTTTTCTCGTATTCAGTTTTATTTCTCACAGAAATTGCATGAGAAGTTAATACAAGAAAAGTCTTTGATTAATTCTCCATGGCATATATCAAATACGTGCGAAAGTAATTTATATGAGATTAATTACACTTTATAACGACTCCATTTTTCGCAATGGATACCATTTTTGTAGACTGTTCAGTTCATTTGTGTGTTCGATTGTATTCTTGCGATGAACTGACCAACTTGTTCAAGGAATCGATCGGATAAATTACATCACTTGTATTGTGAGATTTGACAAGTTTGATTTAAAATTCACAACACCATTCAAATCACTCAATAAATCATCGACATTTGTACAAGTGCGAAAACAATTATTTGCACGTGAAATTCATCTCATAGGAAAAAATCTTTCTTGCTGTTGTAAAGTGTATAAATATTCGATTTCTGTTTCTATTGCTTAATACTCTTATCTTTCATTATTTTCTCTTATGAATAATGGCACTTGGTATGCCCAACAGAATTACGGGTTTCGTACGAGGACTTACAAGATGTTACAAATAATTCTACAAAACAAGTAACACGACAAAATCTGTATGAACATCAAACAGCTAATTAGCTAAATAACTATAGACACAAGCAGAGTTGAATAAAATAAAGAGTAGTTATATCTGAGTATAGTAACCATATGTAGCGATACCACACATGCTGTTCTTATTGCGTGCTATTTTGAAATAGCCATTAAGTCCCCAGTTTTCGCCCCATGAATTGCGTACAACTAGAATAATTGATACACATACAGAGATATCTTTCGAAAGGAATTACTTACGCCAATAATCCTTACCATTGTCGGTTCCAAAACCAACAATAGTGATCGCATGATTGATTGCTTTCGAACACGATGGAATATCAATAATATCTGATGCACCAGCTTGTTCCGATGAACCATAGAATTGTAAATCACCTGTGATACAGATTCCAGCTGCTAATGGACCATATGTTATTAGAGCCCGTTTCATTTCTTCTTCATCATCACGTGGAGTTGTTCCAAATCCTTGGATGCTGCCAATGTTGGCTGATCTGGCATAACACGATTGTTGAGTGCCGACATACGGATAAGATGTATCCGATTCTAGACCACCATTTTGTTTAATATACTGAAAAGTGGTCTCGAAAAAGCCACCGGAACACCCATAATTAGATGAACAATCAACAATTTGTTGTTGAGAGAGTTGAATGCGCCGACCGGTTTTCAAAGCATAAGTACCTTCGATGGCGGCCGTGACAGAAAATGCATAACAAGATCTAAATATGTTAACACCAAGTCGAGAAAAATCGCATGTATTTATGAAGATTCCAATCTCAACTCACCCACATTGACCTTGATTCACGATGGGATTCATGTATGGTCGATAATCAATCTTGGACGCAGAAACTCTCTTCTTCGTCGTTGTTCGTCTGGTAGACCTGTCTGATCCATCGAACGTGTTGGAATCGTTTCTAACTTTTCCTGGATGGAATTTCTTCTTGATTTTGTCTTTGAATTTGTTTATTTTTTTCTTTACAGAATCGAACAAAAATCGTTTTGGTCGTTGATTTATTGACAATGATTTCACATAGTAATCAACTCGAAGGCCGGCCATTTTCTGGCGCATCTCGGATAAATTCATATCACCGAATTCATTTAGATGGAGTTTAAACGACTTAACACCTTTCTCAAAACGAAGATTTTCTTTGATGATAAATCTGAGATTACCAATGAATTTTTCAAGACGATCTTTTTCTTCGCTGACAGATTGATAGACTTTATGATACGAGTTTTTGTAATGATTCCATAGTTTTAAAACAATTTTATTGTCCTTCAATATCTCGAGTTTATGTTGAAATTTATTTGTTACATCGTTCATCGCCCTTTCAATCGTACTATCAACGAACTAAATTCGAAAAAAAACCGAAGTGCAAAACATTGGAAAGGAAATATTCATTGCAGAAAATTCTTACCCCTTGCATTGCTCTACTGCTCATGAATAAAGCATCGTAAACATTGATCGTACAACTGAGTACGAAGAGACTAACAAAGAAAGTGCGCATCATAGTACGGTGAGCTGCTCTTCAATGAATGAAAGAAATGGTATCGTCGGATGTGATTGTTCTTTTTCTTTGTGCTCATTGCTATGATTATCTGTGGATCAAATTTCACGAAAAGACGTTATCTATTCAATTGAATCGATTTAACCAAACATTCCTATCGTTGAATGAGATTTGATTCTCTCATTCGATCGAGATTTAAATTCTCAATTTAACATAATTCCCACGTTCTTAGGAGAATGTGGGGCCAACTTCTACATAGTTGTCATTGAATTATTAGCTGATCAGATCTAAACGTCTCAGTAGACAAAGCATAAAGTGAAAATGGGTTCAATGCAGCCATTACGATTGAATATCGTACAGGCTCGGTCTTCTCAGGAAGAGACGTCAAGAAAAAGAGACCATTCTTTAAATGTTACCTACTAACACTTGTAAGAAAAAGCACGATTTTCTATTTTTCAATTACTAAATGATTAAAAAAAGAAACACTCGTCGGTTTGTTCTTCTCGGGAAAGAGTTCACATTACTTTCTTTTCTGTTGATGTCTACGGAGAATGTTGAAAGCAATTACATTGTTATTTTTTGTCTCTCTTATCAATGAATACTTGTCACAAGACATTCGATCGGTTATATTAAGACAATTTATACATTTACAATATCAATGTAATGGAATTGATTGTTTACCATCATTAATCTATCATGTTGAAAGTTTGCAAGGCTGTCGAATGATCTGTTTGAATCAAAATCAATGTCAAGTGGCGACATTCGATCCAGCCATCAATCAATGTGAAATCTTCTTTGAAATGTCGATTAAACACGCTGAACTGATAGAGAAAAGCAATGTTTATTCAGTCTTTGCAATTGATAATAATGATGTCCTCACTCGTGAGTTTTGATCTTATTTTTCTCATATGAATTTCGTTTGTTTGTGTTCAGCTGTCACAACTACAACAACATGGACATCAAAGTATGTGAAATCACATAGAAAAGTGTTCTCATGAACGTTTACAATTTAGTTGTAACTTGCATTTTTCTCTAGCGTGAACACTTCTGTGCTATCAAATAGTATATCATCAACTGTAACAACTCAAGAAACTACCGATGGAACATAATACTTTATTTCAAACGTATTTGTTGAAAAGTGGTTTGATGGAAGTCATCGAGACTCTTTGGAGGCCATTAGCAAAAATGATGTTACAAACTATTTGTAATCGGTGTCGCAATTCTGTATAATATTGTCGAAACTGTTTTTTTTTAAAATAGTCATGTTTTCAGTCCGATGTTATTTCTTCAATATGTTCGTTTTGTTTGAGCCAAGCAGCGGTCTTGTCGAACAGACTAACGTGGAACATATGATCAGAACCAAAGTCAAATTGATGTTCACTTTTGCCGCCTTCTTTCGCAATGACTTCTATAATCCTTTAATCAATAAACTAATCAATTAAATGATCCTAACTATCCGAGTAAATACCTGGTGACTTCTTCAATGGGTGCTCCATTCTTAAACTTGACGCAGTAGAGTTTCGCAACCACTTCTTCTGATGGTACTGCTGTTGCCCATCCAAGACATGGACGTAGAGCGCTTGTCGTTGGATTTTTGCCAACATCAAAAAATCCCGCAATTAACTTCATAGAGATTAGATTACCATTATTATTTAAGTAAAAATCTGTTTGGGTAATACTTTCTTCGAGATCACTCAAATTCACCCCATCGATCGTGCCCTGTGAAGAAAAGAAAGCTCACTGTGTTCTTGGAATTGTGTGAAGACTTAAGAAAATGCATACAAGTTTTTCATCATGACATTTCCGACAGGCTCGTATGTACTGACCGTCGTTGTTCATTGTGTACTAAAACAAAATTCGTCGTAAGATTTTCATACAGATAAACCTGGAGATTCTTACGGGAATAAAAGTTGTCAACCATCCTAATAACATATTGGCACCCGATCCTTTGTTATTATAATGGCAAATCCTCTGCCACCAATCAATATCAGGTTTACCTTCGGCACTCTCTTTCAACTTTTCGAGATTCGGTAAAAGTGCGTCGAACCACCAATGAAAATCAGTGAGAATTACTTTCAGTTGTTGAACTCGATCGATTAAATCTTGAAAATCAGCAGGCGAACCACGAAGCATTATCTGAGGAACTATACAAGAGAATAACAAATACATGATTTCATTCATAGACTATTCTTACTGCCGCATGTTAAATTACAATCGAAAACAGTTCCGTCAATCTTAGTCGTACTGGAAAATCTTTTGGTGATTAGTGTTGACAGATCAATTTCCATGTCTTCCTTAATCATTTGACATATTTCGGAAACAGCTGCAGGCCAGTTGATCGCCGGAACAGATTCGTTTCTACCTGCTGGTCGCTCTGACTCGGGAAAACGAAGTTGATCCACTGACAATACTAATGTTTTTTTTCCTTCGTGCGAAACACCAAATTCACGACATTTTCCCGAATTTTCATGTAAATGGATACTGACGCCTTGAGCGATAACTACCCAGAAATCTTCAACAGATAATTCGAGCGGGCAATGTTCACAGTATGCTTTGAGAACGGTAGCGACAAAAGCGTTTTTTACACGACCTTGGAAATCTTTTATCATTGGACAATTTATTTGACCATTTTCTAAAGAAAGTGTTTGTTTTTTGTCTTCATTAGACTTGTCGATCCAACGATTGAGATCTTCTTCGAAGAACGCCATGGTTTGGTTACATTGACTTGTACGGGAAACAAGATTTTCCGTCGTACAAAAAGTGGTAATAACCGCAGCTATAGCCACATGTTGTTCTACAACAAAAATGACGATATCGAATTCATAGAGAAAGTAGACATTTCGCATACCTGAGATTTGTTTGTTGATAGCTTTTTTATTGGACGATGGTGGTCTTAGTAAAGGTTCTCTTCGATGATCTACTTCATGATTTGCGCGGACGCATAAAGGTCGCAGTGTTTGACGAACTGATCTACCGAACCGGCGTATAGATCGTCGAATTCTCCAATATGTTGGATTATGCAAAGTTAGATTTGCGAATCGCATGTTCATTGCCATGTCCTGTTTCCACTAAAATTCGAGGAAAAATACAAAATTCAGATAAATAGTTCTGATTAGAAGCGCTGAATTTTTTATAAGAGAAAAATGAGTAAATAAATCACATAATGTGTCGTGTATGATGAAAATACACAAAAAAATCATACAATCACAGAAAGAAAGAAATTTTATTTTCAAAGATGTCAGTGTTTTTGATGCGTCAGCAGGTAAAGAAGACTACAACAATCACAGAAGTTTTCATAGATGAAAGAAATTTTTAAAAAAATCTTTTAAATTCCACCTCTACAACACTCGAGTACTCTCACGATTGATTGTCCAGTTTCCATCTGGAAGGATAATATTAGTCAATTCCGACTTTTCTAATTGTTTCGAATCGATCGTCGAACCGACGAGATTCACATGGGCAAATTTTACTTGATTGAAGTTCGCCTGCTGGAAATTGGACTTCTTCAATAACGTTTTTGATGTAAACTGAACGTCATACAAATATGTATCGCGAAAATCTGCGTAAGATAAATTCGAATTTTGAAATATAAAATGCGATAATGACATGTTATGAAAATCCGCATAGTTCAAGGAAACTTGAATGAATTTATGTTCGACATTCGTCGAGAATTCTGAATAAGTGAAAGTAATTCCATTCATGACTGAACGAGTAAAGTCTGTTTTGTCAGCGAATTGACAAGAATGAAATGATCCATTGGTAAAATTAATCAACATAGCCGATAGTCGATCGAATTTGGATCGAAGAAATTGTGTCGAGCTCATTTCGGAATCGTCAAAGTTGACTTTATTTTTAAAAACACAATCGATAAAAGATGCGTTGATCAATTTCACTTTATAAAATGTTAAACTATCTTCGAACACTGCACGAATAAATCTGACGTTATTCATAATCGAACCACTGACATTTGTCTCTCCATGAAACTGACAGTCAACAAACACTGCATTGATCATATTCAAAGATTGTAACGATAAAAAATTGAATTCATACGAGCCGGTCAACGGACTGCTAATGTTTATATTTCGGAGATCAGCACCGATTAGTGAAATCGTGCTGTTCGAAGAGAATCGATCGGGTAGTAGATTATTTTCATAAAGAAAAATAAATAGAAAACTTCGCCGTTCACTGTCGATCGATCGTAAAGTAATTAAAGTCTTTCGACGAATGTAAAGCATCTTTGTCTCTTCACTTGTAAAAAGACTTTGATTGTACTGTTGTTTGTAAAGAATTGCCGAAATATCATCGATATATTTTGAATACAAGCTTTCATAATGAAGATCTTGTTGTTGTGCACGATCCTCCTGTCGATTATCTTCGGCGATTTGACGATCTTGAATCTTCGTTTCATTAGCGATGTTGAGATTAGCCATGGCAATTTCCCAATCTTTGATTTGGGTTAAATTCGCGATTTCTAAATCATGGTAGCGAGTGATATTCGCAATCATTTGGTCTTGTAGACGATTTAAAGTAGCAATAGATAAATCTTTCTCACGGGTAGCATTCGCCAAACCTTCTTCCTTTTCACGATTATTCTCACTGATTTTTATCTGTTGAACGTATGAAACAATGGTGAAAATGCCAATCATGAGAGGCACAGAAGCAGACAGAGCGAGTTTAGCCCACGCGAAACATAAACGATTCGATTTGCCGGTGAAAAGCTTTTGTGTACGAAGATGAAGATTACGGTCAAAACGTCGATATCGAGCCATTGTTGCATTAAAGATTGAAGATGAATCGATGGTTTTATTCAATAATAATCAATGTTGTTGTTCTTTTGATAATGTCGTGACTCAATTTATACTTTCTGATCAAAGACTAGATTTACATTGGAGGCTGAAAACAATTATTTTAGTTAGATCAACATGTGCAAAATAGATTTGTTCTTTAGCTGAAAGCATACATTTGATTTCGAACGTCCATAAACGAATGGATTATTCTTATTGTTGAATTTGCACTCTGGATAAGAAAGTTAAAATCAGAAAAAATTATTTTGAATAATCGAATATCTATACACATTTATTGTCTTTTCAATATATCAGATTACATAGCGTTTTTCAAAATTTCATCTTATGCACTTTCATACGGAACTTCTCGAAGTACCTGGTAATAAAATTACATGAGGAGCTTGATAGAGTCTTAATTTACGGATTCTTCGTCGACGTATGACAACTGATATGACAATAATTAAAACAATAAAAAACACAGTTACACTTGGTATAACAATTAGGTACAATAAATTCATTCGTTTAGATTGGCATATGTTTGCAGTATAATCACAGTTACCAGATGCACATGAGTAACCGTATGTACAATATTCACCATAACTTTTCCGTGATTGGCATGTGTAATCCGAGTTTGTATCACAATACAATGCAGGTCCACATTCTCGAGGATGAATATAATATCCTGAACATTTTTGTCCTAATGACTTCAGATTTTCACACATATTATTCGTACAATAATAATCACAAGTACTATCATCATAACAGGAACAACCATAGGTACAACGAGCGGTACTCGTCATTGGTAATAGGACATTTATGAAAAGAATAAAGAGTATCTTGTTCATTGTTGGTTATAGTGCAGAATGACTTTGAATTATAAGGTTTGAAAGGCAAAGACGACGGGATATTTATTAGTAGTTGATAAGAAGTACATTTTCGAAATAAATCATTGGAACAAAAGTTCTCAGATGATATATCGTACAAAGTTATTTTATCTTGTCTCATAAGATGGTGACAATGACAATCTCGAACAAACTCGAAACGATAATGATAAATTATGAATTCGAAGTCGTGAACTGAACGATTCAATAAACGAATCAAATAAAATTTTTCTTTCGTTACTATACAGTAGAGTAAAGAAAAACGACTGAAATTAAATCATGAAAACGTTACTTTCTTCCGTTCTTTGTCTACATAGATGAAAAAGAAAACGAAATGCCACTGTCAGTAAGTAAATAAGAACCACTTGTACAATAAATGCAAGCACAATTCAGCTACCTATGTTTGCACTTTCATTCAAGATAACATTCTTTTCAGGTTTAAAAGCGAATTCAACCTTTCCGCGAAAAGCAGCGATCCACACTACGATTCTCCTCATACAATACTGAGAATACAAATTATTTTGAACGATAAATTACTGCTTAATTGAGAAATTCATCGATCATGGCAACGTCTCTTTACTTCAATACCAATGATCAACGTCTCGAGTTGTTTTCATTGGTTTGGCTCGATTCCAATCCGCATGAAACTCGACAAACTGAACAAAAACTTCGTTCGATCATCAATCGTCTTAAACGCTTTCGACAAGTTGATCAATGTCGACAGTATATCGAGGAAATGAATTCCAAAGAACGAGTAGTTCTAATCGTCAGTGGACGGTTAGGAAAAGAACTCGTTCCTTCCATTCATCACCATCGACAAATCATTTCTATCTACGTTTTTTGTATGGATAAAGAATCCAATCGACAATGGGCAGCGAAATTTTCCAAAGTCAAAAACGTTTCAACAAACATTGGCGAACTGATCGGTGATATCAAACGAAATCACAAAATTCAAAAGAAAGTCGAAGAACACTTAGAAATGAATTTCTTCAGTACGAATACTGGCGGAGGAGGAAAATCCCTATCAGGTATCAACGGGAAGTTTCTTTTCTCTCAAGTACTGATTGATTGTCTGATGGAATTACCATTCAATGAAGAGGATCGAAATGAACTAATTCAATGTTGTCAGACTGAATACAAAGGAAATGTCGAAGAATTGGATAAAATCGAAGAGTTCGCCAATGAATATTCCGCGAAGAATGTGTTATGGTGGTACACAAGAGAATCTTTCTTCTATAAAATCTTAAATTCGTCACTACGTATGGAAAATCTTCATGTAATGTTTCTATTCCGTTCGTTCATTTCCGATATTTGTGAACAATTGAAAAAAAATCCAGTGAAAACATCGATCAAACTCTATCGAACTCAAATGATTGCAAAAGAAGAATTTCAAAACTTACAAAAATCAATCGGTCAGTTCATTTCCATTAATTCCTTTTTCTCAACGAGTCTCTCACGGTCCACAGCGCTTTCATTTCTCGATCTTTCGGATGGTTCATCTGATCTGCAAAAGATCTTATTCGAAGTTTCTGCAGATCCAAAGACTGTAACAACAAAGCCCTTTGCAGACATTTCGAAATTTAGTGATTTTAATGATGAACAAGAGATTTTATTTATGATCGGATCGATTTTTCAAATTGAACAGATCCAAAATGACGAGGAAAACCAAATTGCAATCGTTAAGATGAATTTGTGCTCAGACGAAGAAAATCATTTGAGGAAAATTCTTCATCAAATGAAACAACAATTTCTCAACGAACAGATTTCTCTGAGAACTTTTGCTAATGTCCTATGGGAAATGGGACAACTCAAGTTGGCAGACATGTATTTACAAAGACTTTTGAATGGTCTCTCGGCGAATGATCAACTTCGACCGATTTTGTACAAAGATTTGGCGAAATTAGCATCGCAAAACGGAGATTTCGATCAAAGTGTTCAATGGAGACACAAACTGATTGAATTTGAAGAACAAAAAAGTCGAGTCAAGTATAAACCAATAACTGAGGAAAAAGCAACAAAACCAATGAGTACGATCGAAACAGAAAAAAAGATTGATTTGCTCTTTGTTTTGTTTTTAGTAAAACCAATTATTCATCCAAAGATAAAATCAACAAATAGGAAATGGAAACAATTCGGAATCACTGTGGCGGGAGGGAATGGCCGTGGTGAAGAATTAAATCAGCTCAATGATCCCGTAGGAATTTGTATTGATGACGAAAATCAAACGATTTATATTGCTGACACACAAAATCATCGTATTATGAAATGGAAAATAGGACAAAAACAGGGAGAGGTTGTTGCTGGAGGGACTGGACAAGGAAAGCGCATTGATCAGTTAAATCAGCCAAGGAATGTGATTTGGAATAAAGCAAATCGTGCACTCATTATTGCTGACTCGTTAAATTTTCGAGTAGTGCAATGCACTTGGCAAAATGGCGTCAAACAACAAATTCTTTTCTCTGATACATCATGCTATGGTCTTTTTTTGGATAAGAATGGTAGTTTGTATGTTTCTGATTGTACGAAGCGTGAAATCAGGCGGTGGAAAGAAGGAGAAACAAATGGAACAGTCGTTGCAGGTGGAAATGGAAGAGGGAATCGTTGTGATCAGTTCGAATATCCAACTTTTCTCTCTGTCGATAAAGACGATTCGGTTTATGTGACTGATGAGGACAATAATCGTGTGATGAAATGGACAAAAAATGCTCAAGAAGGAATTGTCGTTGCTGGTGGAAATGGCGAAGGAGATAATCTTAATCAATTTTCGGTTCCTGGAGGAGTTATTGTTGACGAGTTGAATAATGTTTATATAGCGGATGGGGTCAATGTTCGAATTATATGTTGGCCTCCAGGATCGAGAGAAGGTTCAGTCATCGTGGGTAGAGGCCGTGTCGGAAACGAAGCAGATCAACTGGCTTTGCCTAGAGGGTTATCCTTCGATTGTGAAGGGAATCTTTATGTTGTAGATAGTCACAATAATCGAGTCCAAAAATTTGAACTTGACACAAATTGACATTCTAATTGGACCTCTTTTTAAATTGTAAAGTCTTTGTTATATTGAATAAACGTGAAGTAGCTCATCATATAACGCAATATCTAATCATTCATTCTACGCATGATCTTTACTTCGATCGAATCGAAACAAATTCGTTTCTCAATACTTTTTCAGATCATTTACTCAACTTTAAAACATATTCTTACAGGACGAAACGACAACTTATCCCTCGTCAAGCTTCGTGTCGACATTTCAAAAAGGTTGAATCAATATTCGATCTGAAACATTTCAACAATGCATAAATAAATCTCTTTCGTAAGTTTTCTTCAACTGTTGAAGATTGAAACAACTTTTAAAAATTCGCCAGATATCCTTAATGAAAAGTTTCTTGCCCATTGAATTTCTCCAATAACTACAACTTTAAACTTATTTGACGCTGATTGATTGATCACTATGAGATGATTAACATTTTATACGATAATCCGATTGATGCATTTTACGTATGACCAATGAAAATGGTCTATTCCTATCCTTTGTTTTGTCACTTCAACAAAGCATTTTTGACCGCTTTTGCTTCCATTATATATTATATGAAAAACGTACACATTAATAGTTTTCAACTGCTAAGTAAGTTGTTTATAACATTTTCGTAAATAATCAATTCGATGAAGTTTAAAGACAATTTCTTTCAGAAAATGATACGGAACATGACATGGAAAATGTTGATTATGATTATGTTTTTCAACAAAGTACATGTGCATCATATGTTTCGATTAGTCGAAAAACGATCTATGAATGATAATACTTACTGGGGTTACGATTGTCCTGGAAACGACTTATATCAAGTTCATACAATAAATATGTATTGTTCAGAACAATGTGCCAAAACGTCTGGATGTACACACGTTGTATGGTCGAAAGCAAACAATTATACATGTTCGTTAAAAAAAGGTACCTTTTCGAAAAATAATTTGATCAAAACTGATGATAATCATACTGCGTGTGTGCAAGTGTTTCCAAGTGAATCTCGAGATATTCCACCTGAGAGATTCAATATCAGTACATCATTTCAATGGACTTGTCAATTTCCGACATGTTCCAGAAAGGCGAATATACTTCGACGCGTAAATCCAGTGAATACCTGCCTTGAAGATGGACGTACAATTGCAGGAATTAGGCAAACTTTTAAGATTGGCAACTTGGAAATTCCAGGATATGATCCAGCGTATATGTGCAGTGATCAACAACCGTGGTCTGTTAATGATAGTCTAGCTTATGGGTTTGGTTCAATGTATTTTGAATCGTCAACAGATATTGACTTCTGTTGTATTTGTTATCGATTAAATTTCATGGACGATTTATTCAAAGACAAAACTATGCTTGTTCAAATGATTAGTCATGAACCACGAACATCAAAATATCACCAATATATTGAATTGTTTGTTCCGGGAAGCGAAGATCGTTATGAAGAATGTGGAAGGCAATGGATGTTGGTCAAACGCGGCTACAAATTTCCGAGCAAAACACTGACTCGTGAGCAATGTTTTAATCTTCCCGAGCCAATTCAAAATGGCTGTTTGTTTAAATTTGATTGGCTAAAAAATGTTCAAAAGCCAAATATTACTTATACTAAGATTCAATGTCCGAAAGAACTGACTGATAAAAGTGGATGTAGTCAAGGTACTGTTAATTAATCGAGTTTTTCTTCGTTGTATGTAGACTCTACATTGAAATAAATAAATGTGTTGATGCTGTGTGAATGTTTCTGCAATTCTTCGACATCCTCATCTTTCCACCTATATTTGATCTTTTAATAATCATTCAATATTCAATTCAACGACAGCCACAACAAAAAAAGACATAGTTAACCGCCCGAGAGATAATCGTAATTCTTTCCAAAATGTACTGCTCTTGCTACCTGAGGAATGATGATAGCAAACAGCAACTATGATGGCTTATAAACCAGATAATACTCTGCATACACCATTTCGAATATCATATATGAAGAGATAAGTCATCACTGCATTAAGATAACGTCGCGCAATTGAGGCAGAGCATAACTGTCGCCATCAATGGCACTTAAGATGAGCGTAGATCGTGAAATAGAATGTTATCTGCGACAATGACATTCTTAGAGAAGAAATCTATTTTTATTAAGAAGATAAGTTTAGTGAGAGGCAAAGTCAAATTTGTCGTTCCATCTGATGATGTGATATTTCGAAACATTAGTCTCGCAAATACGAAATTCAAAGAATCCCCATTTGTTTACACATAGTTCACTTTCATCTTTTGAAAAATGTAAAAAGTTCAGTAAGTTTAGTGGAATCCAATTCTGTTGATAGTGCTAACTAAGAATTGTATACAAAGTAGAAAAGTATATATTCCAAATAAACTAAATTTTAGTGTAACAAAAAAACTAGTTTTTTATCGTCTTCCTTGGAATAGATTTCTTATCATAGATTGTATACTTGTCCTACTGTTCGGATCGAAAAAATTGCGCATATCCGAGAAATGTCTGGAGAAGAATCCATTGGTTTTATGCAAAACTTTCTCCCAGAACGATCTTCTATAGAGAACAGCAGTGCACCATCCGACTAATTTCTCNATGTTCACAGTATGCTTTGAGAACGGTAGCGATAAAAGCGTTTTTGACACGACCTTGGAAACCTTTTACCATTGGACAATTTATTTGACCATTTTCTAAAGAAAGTTTTTGTTTTTTGTTTTCATTAGACTTGTCGATCCAACGATTGAGATCTTCTTCGAAGAACGCCATGGTTTGGTTACATTGACTTGTACGGGAAACAAGATTTTCCGTCGTACAAAAAGTGGTAATAACTGCAGCTATAGCCACATGTTGTTCTACAACAAAAAAAAAGACGATATCGAATTCATAGAGAAGGTAGACATTTCGCATACCCGAGATTTGTTTGTTGATAACTTTTTTATTGGACGATGGTGGTCTTGATAGAGGTTCTCTTTGATGATCTACTTCATGATTTGCGCGGACGCATAAAGGTCGCAGTGTTTGACGAACTGATCTACCGAACCGGCGTATAGATCGTCGAATTCTCCAATATGTTGGATTATGCGTTAGATTTGCAAATCGCATGTTCATTGCCATGTTCTGTTTCCACTAAAATTCGAAGAAAAATACAAAATTCAGATAAATAGTTCTGAATAGAAGCACTGAAATTTTTTTAAAGAAGAAAAATGAGTAAGTAAATCACATAATGTGTCGTGTGTGATGAAAGTACACGAAAAATCATACAATCACAGAAAGGAAGAAATTTTATTTTCAAACACGTCAATGTTTTCATGCGTCATAAGGCAAAGAAGACTACAACAATCACAGACATTTTCATAGATGAAAGAAATTAAAAAAAATCTTTCGCATTCCGCATCTCTACAACGCTCAAGTACTTTCGCGATTGATTGTCCAGTTTCCATTTGGAAGGATAATATTAATCAATTCCGATTTTTCTAATTGTTTCGAATCGATCGTCGAACCGACGAGATTCACATAGGCAAATTTTACTCGATTGAAATTTGCCTGCTGAAAATTGGACTTCTTCAATAACGTTCTTGATGTAAATTGAACGTCATGCAAATATGTATCGCGAAAATCTGCGTAAGATAAATTCGAATTTTGAAACACAAAATGCGATAATGACATGTTATGAAAATCCGCATAGTTCAAGGAGACTTGAATGAATTGATGTTCGACATCCGTCGAGAATTCTGAATGAGTGAAAGTAATTCCATTCATGACTGAACGAGTAAAGTCTGTTTTGCCAGCGAATTGACAAGAATGAAATGATCCATTGGTAAAATTAATCGACATAGCCGATAGCCGATCGAATTTGGATCGAAGAAATTGTGTCGAGCTCATTTCGGAATCGTCAAAGTTGACTTTATTTTTAAAAACACAATCGATAAAAGATGCGTTGATCAATTTCACTTTATAAAACGTTAAACTATCTTCGAACACCGCACCGATAAACCTGACGTTGTTCATAATCGAACCACTGAAATTTGTCTCTCCACGAAACTGACAGTCAACAAACACCGCATTGATCATGTTCAAAGATTGTAATGATAAAAAATAGAATTCATACGATCCTGTCAACGGACTGCTAATGTTTATATTTCGAAGATCAGCACCAATTAGTGAAATCGTGCTGTTCGAAGAGAATCGATCGGGTAGTAGATTATTTTCATAAAGAAAAATAAACAGAAAACTTCGCCGTTCACTGTCGATCGATCGTAAAGTAATTAAAGTCTTCCGACGAATGTAAAGCATCTTTGTCTCTTCACTTGTAAAGAGACTTTGATTGTACTGTTGTTTGTAAAGAATTGCCGAAATATCATCGATATATTTCGAATACAAGCTTTCGTAATGAAGATCTTGTTGTTGTGCGCGATCTTCTCTTCGATTATCTTCGGCGATTTGACGATCTTGAATCTTCGTTTCATTAGCGATGTTGAGATTAGCCATGGCAATTTCCCAATCTTTGATTTGAGTTAAATTGGCGATTTCTAAATCATGGTAGCGAGTAATATTCGCAATCATTTGGTCTTGTAGACGATTTAAAGTAGCAATAGATAAATCTTTCTCACGGGTAGCATTGGCCAAACCTTCTTCCTTTTCACGATTATTCTCACTGATTTTCATCTGTTGAACGTATGAAACAATAGTGAAAATGCCAATCATGAGAGGCACGGAAGCAGAAAGAGCAAGTTTAGCCCACGCTAAACATAAACGATTCGATTTGCTGGTGAAAAGCTTTTGTGGACGAAGATGAATATTACGGTCAAAACGCCGATACCGAGCCATTGTTGCATTGAAGATTGAGGATGAATCGATGGTTTTATTCAATAATGATTAACGTTGTTGTTCTTTTGGTAATGTCGTGACTCAATTTATACGTTCTGATCAAAGATTAGATTTACATTGGAGGCTGAAAACAATTATTTTGGTTAGATCAACATGTACAAAATAGATTTGTTCTTTCTGAAAGTATACATTTGATTTCGAACGTCCATCAACGAATGGATTATTCTTATTGATGAGTTTGCACTCTGGATAAGAAAGTTGAAACAAGAAAAACTTATTTTGAATAATCGAATACCAGTACATATTTATTGTCTTTTCAATACATCAGATTACATAGCGTTTTTCAAAATTTAATCTGACACACTTTGATACGGAACTTCTCGAAGTACCTGGTAATAAAATTACACGAGGAGCTTGATAGAATGTCAATTTACGGATTCTTCGTCGACGTATGACAACTGATATGACAATAATTAAAACAATAAAAAACACAGTTACACTTGGTATAACAATTAAGTACAACAAATTCATTCGTTTAGATTGGCATATGTTTGCGGTATAATCACAGTTGCCAGATGCACATGAGTAATCGTATGTACAATATTCACCATAACTTTTCTGTGATTGGCATGTGTAATCCGAGTTCGTGTCACAATACGATGTAGGTCCACATTCTCGAGGATGAATATAATATCCTGAACATTTTTGTCCTAATGACTTCAGATTTTCACACATATTATTCGTACAGTAATAATCACAAGTACTATCATCATAACAGGAACAACCATAGGCACAACGAGCGGTACTCGTCATTGGTAATAGGACATTTATGACAAGAATAAAGAGTATCTTGTTCATTGTTGGTTATAGTGCAGAATGACTTTGAATTATAAGCTTTGAAAAGCAAAGACGACGGGATATTTATTAGTAGTTGATAAGAAATACATTTGCGAAATAAATCATCGGAACAAAGTTCTCAGATGATATATTGCACAAAGTTATTTTATCTTGTCTCACAACATGGTGACAATGACAATCTCAAACAAACTCGAAACGATAATGATAAATTATGAATTCGAAGTCGTGAACTGAACGATTCAATAAATGAATCAAATTAAGTTTTTCTTTCGTTACTATACAGTAGAGTAAAGAAAAACGACTGAAATTAAATCACGAAAACGTTACTTCCTTCCGTTCTTTGTATACGCAGATGAAAAGAAAACGAAATAACACTGTCAGTAAGTAAATAAGAACCACTTGTACAATAAATACAAGCACAATTTAGCTACCTGTGTTGCACTTTCATTCAAGATAACATTCTTTTCAGGCTTAAAAGCGAATTCAACCTTTCCGCGAAAAGCAGCGGTCGACACTACGATTCTCACCATACATACTGAGAATACAAATTATTCTGAACGATAAATTACTGCTTAATTAAGAAATTCATCGATCATGGCAACGTCTCTTTACTTCAATACCAATGATCAACGTCTCGAGTTGTTTTCATTAGTTTGGCTCGACTCCAATCCGCATGAAACTCGGCAAACTGAACAAAAACTTCGTTCGATTATCAATCGTCTTAAACGCTTTCGACAAGTTGATCAATGTCGACAGTATATCGAGGAAATGAATTCCAAAGAACGAGTAGTTCTAATCGTCAATGGACGGTTAGGAAAAGAACTCGTTCCTTCCGTTCATCGTCATCGACAAATCATTTCTATCTACGTTTTTTGTATGGATAAAGAATCCAATCGACAATGGGCAGCGAAATTTTCTAAAGTCAAAAACGTTTCAACAAACATTGACCAACTGATCGGTGAAATCAAACGAAATCACAAAATTGAAAAGAAAGTGGAAGAACACTTAGAAATGAATTTCTTCAGTACGAATACTGGCGGAGGAGGAGGAGGAAAATCCCTATCAGGTATCAACGGGAAGTTTCTTTTCTCTCAAGTACTGATTGACTGTCTGATGGAATTACCATTCAATGAAGAGGATCGAACTGAACTAATTCAATGTTGTCAGACTGAATACAAAGGAAATGTCAAAGAATTGGATAAAATCGAAGAGTTCGCCAATGGATATTCCGCGAAGAATGTGTTATGGTGGTACACAAGAGAATCTTTCTTCTATAAAATCTTAAATTCGTCACTACGTATGGAAAATCTTCATTTAATGTTTCTATTTCGTTCGTTCATTTCCGATATTTGTGAACAATTGAAAAAAAATCCAGTGAAAACATCGATCAAAGTCTATCGAAGTCAATTGATTGCAAAAGAAGAATTTCAAAACTTACAAAAATCAACCGGTCAGTTCATCTCCATTAATTCCTTTTTCTCAACGAGTCTCTCACGATCCACAGCGCTTTCATTTCTCGATCTTTCGGATGGTTCATCTGATCTGCAAAAGATCTTATTCGAAGTTTCTGCAGATCCAACGACTGTAACTACAAAACCCTTTGCAGACATTTCGAAATTTAGTGATTTTAATGATGAACAAGAGATTTTATTTATGATCGGATCGATTTTTCAAATTGAAAAGATCGAAAATGACGAGGAAAACGAAGTTACAATCGTTAAGATGAATTTGTGCTCGGACGAAGAAAATCATTTGAGAAAAATTCTTCATCAAATGAAACAACAATTTCTCAACGAACAGATTTCTCTGAGAACTTTTGCAGATGTCCTATGGGAAATGGGACAACTCAAGTTAGCAGACATGTATCTACAAAGATTTTTGAATGGTCTCTCGCCGAACGATCAACTTCGACCGATTTTGTACAAAGATTTGGCGAAATTAGCATCGCAAAACGGAGATTTCGATCAAAGTGTTCAATGGAGACACAAACTGATTGAATTTGAAGAACAGAAAAGTCAAGTCAAGTATATACCAACAACTGAGGAAAAAACAACAAAACCAATGAGTACGTTTGAAATAGAAAGAAAAGATTGATTTGCTCTTTGTTTCGTTTTTAGTGAAACTAAATATTCATCCAAAGATAAAATCAACAAATAGGAAATGGAAACAATTCGGAATCACTGTGGCGGGAGGGAATGGCGACGGCGAAGGATTGAACCAACTTCATTGGCCCGAGGGAATTTGTATCGATGATGAAAACCAAACGATTTACATTGCTGACACACTAAATCATCGTATTATGAAATGGAAAATAGGACAAAAACAGGGAGAGGTTGTTGCTGGAGGGACTGGACAAGGAATGCGCATTGATCAGTTACACGGGCCAACGAATGTGATTTGGGATAAAGCAAATCGTGCACTCATTATTGCTGACTTGAAAAATCTTCGAGTAGTGCAATGGACTTGGCGAAATGGCGTCAAACAACAAATTCTTTTCTCTCATATATCATGCTATGGTCTTTTTTTGGATAAGAATGGTAGTTTGTATGTTTCTGATTGTGTGACGAGTGAAATCAGGCAGTGGAAAGAAGGAGAAAGAAATGGAATAGTCGTTGCAGGTGGAAATGGAATAGGGAATCGTTGTGATCAGTTCGACCGTCCAACTTTTCTCTCTGTCGATAAAGACGATTCGGTTTATGTGACTGATAAGGACAATAATCGTGTGATGAAATGGACAAAAAATGCTCAAGAAGGAATTGTCGTTGCTGGTGGAAATGGCAAAGGAAAGGATCTTAATCAATTTCAGATTCCTGGAGGAGTTATTGTTGACGAGTTGAATAATGTTTATATAGCGGATGGGAGCAATTGTCGAATTATATGTTGGCCCCCAGGATCGAGAGAAGGTTCAGTCATCGTGGGTAAAGACCTTTTCGGAAGCGAAGCAGATCAACTGGCTTGTCCTGCAGGATTATCCTTCGATTGTGAAGGGAATCTTTATGTTGTAGATAGTTTCAATAATCGAGTTCAAAAATTTGAAGTTGACACAAGTTGATATTCTAATTGGACATCTTTTTAAATTGTAAAGTCTTTGTTATATTGAATAAACGTGAAGTAGCTCACCATATAACATAACATCTAATCATTCATTCTACGCATGATATTCACTTCGATCGAATCGAAACAAATTCGTTTCTCAATACTTTTTCAGATCATTTACTCAACTTTAAAACATATTCTTACAAGATGAAAAGGTTGAATCAATATTCGATCTGAAACATTTCAACTGTTGAAGATAGAAACAACTATTAAAAATTCGTCAGATATCCTTAATGAAAAGTTTCTTGTCCGTTGAATTTTCCCAATAACTACAACTTTAAACTTATTTGACGCTGATTGATTGATCACTATGAGATGATTAACATTTTATACAATAATCCGATTGATGCATTTTACGTATGACCAATGAAAATGATCTATTCCTATCCTTTGTTTTTCACTTCAACAAAGCATTTTTGTCCGCTTTTGCTTTCATTATATATTGTGTGGAAACAGTTCACATTGATAGTTTTCAACTGCTAAGTAAGTTGTTTATAACATTTTCGTAGATAATCAATTCGATGAAGTTTCAAGACAATTTCTTTCAGAAAATGATACGAAACATGACATGGAAAATGTTGATTATAATTATTTTTTTCAACAAAGTACATGTGCATCATATGTTTCGATTAGTCGAAAAAAGATCAATGAATGATAATACTTACTGGGGTTACGATTGTCCTGGAAACGACTTGTATCAAGTTCAGACAATAAATATGTACTGTTCAGAACAATGTGCCAAAACGTCCGGATGTACACACGTTGTATGGTCAAAAGCAAACAATTATACATGTTCGTTAAAAAAAGGTACCTTTTCGAAAAACAATTTGGTCAAAACTGATGATAATCATACTGCGTGTGTGCAAGTGTTTCCAAGTGAATCTCGAGATATTCCACCTGAGCGATTCAATATAAGTACATCATTTCAATGGACTTGTCAATTTCCGACATGTTCCAGAAAGGCGAATATACTTCGACGCGTAAATCCAGTGAATACTTGTCGTGAAGATGGACGTACAATTGCAGGAATTAGGCAAATTTTTAAGATTGGCAACTTGGAAATTCCAGGATATGATCCAGCGTATATGTGTAGTGATCAACAACCGTGGTCTATTAATGATAGTCTAGCTTACGGGTTTGGTTCAATGTATTTTGAATCGTCAACAGATATTGATTTCTGTTGTATCTGTTATCGATTAAATTTCGTGGACGATTTATTCAAAGACAAAACCATGCTTGTTCAAATGATTAGTCATGAACCACGAACATCAAAATATCACCAATATATTGAACTGTTTGTTCCGGGAAGCGAAGATCGTTATGAAGAATGCGGAAGGCAATGGATGTTGGCCAAACGCGATTACAAGTTTCCGAGCAAAACACTGTCGCGTGAGCAATGTTTTAATCTTCCCGAGCCAATTCAAAATGGCTGTTTGTTTAAATTCGATTGGCTAAAAAATGTTCAAAAGCCAAATATTACTTATACTAAGATTCAATGTCCGAAAGAACTGACTGATAAAAGTGGATGTAGTCAAGGTACTGTTAATTAATCGAGTTTTTCTTCGTTGTATGTAGACTCTACGTTGAAATAAATAAATGTGTTGATGATGTGTGAATGTTTCTGCAATTCTTCGACATCCTCATCTTTCCATCTATATTTGGCCTTTTAATAATCATTCAATATTCAATTCAACGACACCCACAATAAAAAAAGACATAGTTAACCGTCCGAGAGATATTCGTAATTCTTTCCAAAATGCACTGCTCTTGATACCTGAGGAATGATGATAGCAAACAGCAACTATGGTAGCTTATAAACCAGGTAATACTCTGCATACACCATTTCGAATATCATACATGAAGCGATAAGTCATCACTGCATTAAGGTAACGTCGCGCAATTGAGGCAGAACATAACTGTCGCCATCGATGGCACTTAAGATGAGCGTAGATCGTGAAATAGAATGTTATCTGCGACAGCGACATTCTTAGAGAGGAAATCTGTTTTTATTAAGAAGATAAGTTTAGTGAGAGGCAAAGTCAAATTTGTCGTTCCACCTGATGATGTGATATTTCGAAATATTAGTCACGCAAATACGAAATTCAAAGAATCCCCATTTGTTTACACATAGTTCACTTTCATCTTTTGAAAAATGTAAAAAGTTCAGTAAGTTTGGTGGAATCCAATTCTGATGATAGTGCTAACTAAGAATTGTATACAAAGTAGAAAAGTATATATTCCAAATAAACTGAATTTTAGTGTAACAAAAAAATTAGTTTTTTATCGTCTTCCTTGGAATAGATTTCTTATCATAGATTGTATACTTGTCCTACTGTTCGGATCGAAAAAATTGCGCATATCCGAGAAATGTCTGGAGAAGAATCCATTGGTTTTATGCAAAACTTTCTCCCAGAACGATCTTCTATAGAGAACAGCAGTGCACCATCCGACTAATTTCTCTTCATCAAGCGCTTCCATAATACAATGAATCAATNTAGTTTTTTATCGTCTTCCTTGGAATAGATTTCTTATCATAGATTGTATACTTGTCCTACTGTTCGGATCGAAAAAATTGCGCATATCCGAGAAATGTCTGGAGAAGAATCCATTGGTTTTATGCAAAACTTTCTCCCAGAACGATCTTCTATAGAGAACAGCAGTGCACCATCCGACTAATTTCTCTTCATCAAGCGCTTCCATAATACAATGAATCAATTCATCGACACCTTGAACTGGTTTTCTTTCTGCTGATAAATCCGGATCATAATACTCAACTGAATTGACCATGGTGCATAATGCTCCATGTCCGAATAATGTCACATGATGTGGCTGACGATTTCCACCTTGATCGAATGATTTGACATTTTCTTCACCGAAAAACTCCAACTGTTTTTTAAATTCGTCAATAACAACTTTACGACCGGGATTCGACCACATATTTGTACAAACAAGTGCGCAAAAAATTTGTTTATCTTTGCACATTTTCAATATTGAATGAAGTTGATTCAAATCAGCAAACGTTCCCGGTGCCGCACAATAGATGACGCAAATCGGATTCTTCTCTTCAATGAGCTTCTTCATAGTTTCCTCTCCATTCTGCTCAATCCATGATTCGATTCCTGGTGTATCATAAAAATTAATCTGAAATGATTGTCCATCTGGTGCTAGTTGTCTATCTTTCAACGTGTAACATTTGATTTCTTTGGTACATGAGTTAAGTCCAGGACTTGTCTCCGCAATATTTTCTTCACCACATAACGCGTTGATTAATTGGCTTTTGCCAACACGTGGTGAACCGATGAGAATAATGTTAAATTGAAAATTTTCAACAACGTGATCGACTTCAATGGGATAATAGTCTTTGCTTAAACTATCTCGAACAGTCGATGTGGTTAGACGAACAACAGAAGTAATATTTTTTCTTTCCCTTGTAGTATCGTTCTGAGAAGGTGTGTTCACCAAAACCGATGATGCTGACTGACTTGTAGCGCTTGTCTAGAAAAACGACATTTAACCATATGATTTAACTTTTGGATCCTACTGTTGATTCGGTAGTGCAATCTCGAATTAGTCTAAAAATACTTCCGTAGATAACGAAAAGAAAAACACAAATAATTACCTGTGAATATCGAAACCGTCACGTCTCCGATTGCAATTAGTCTAAGCATCAGAAAAGACTATCAATCAGGAATATTACTTGGAAGTTTTCTTCATACGGTATGATTATTATAATCGCAAAATTTGATTTGTTTACGACAGAATTCACATGGAACAGTTTCCTCCTTGTCATTTCCTATGAAAAACAAATCAACATTGTCAAAGAAAAGCAAATTGAAAACGACGACTTTACCCGTATTCGACATCATTTCAAGATCATCTTCATCAGAAATAATACAATTATTTTCTAAATGATAATTGTAAATAGATCGTTGGATGAATTTTTGACAGTTTGGGCATTTTTCTGTTTTTGTTCCACAATGAACTAAATGCTCGCTCATGTCTTTTGTCGGAATTTCTTCATGACAAAGCGAGCAGAAATATGAAATATTCGAACAACTTGTCTGAAAAAGTCAACTAACAATTTATTGTCAAATGTTTCGTTTCTATTCGATTACCTTGTGTCGATCAAGTTCAGTTTGGTTGGAATATGAACTACCGCAGTTACACCTGTGCATCACTTTCTTATCTGAAAGAAAGCAAACAGTCATGCGACACGCGAAATAATGAAATGCTTAAAACCTTTCTTTCTTGCCGCATGTGTAGAATACTCTTGGTTGAGATGCGAACAAATGAATACCATCGTTTGTGGCGACATCTTTTTCCAAGACGAAAGTGAAAATGTTCTTGATGAATCTATTTTTTATTTATAAAGAAAAAAAATGAATCATTCGATTCAGCTATCATGTTTTGATGATCACTTCTGCTAAAACACGGAAATGTGAACTGGAAAAAAGATAATCTATACGACTGTCCATCGCACTTGAGACATTAAACGTGGAAAAGGTACCACTGGGACCACAATGGGGAAGTTCAGATGCTGTATAAGCATCTTTAAATATAGTATCTGCAATGATCGCACGATAAGGATCGGAATTTGGTGTAGCATTCAAGTCTCCGGTGAGAATAACAGGAGCGGTAGCTCCAGCGATTGTTTTGATCTGATTCAAAATCAGATGTGAACTTTGAAGACGAGCATTTGTACCTCGATGATCATAGTGTGTATTGAAGTGATAAAACGTTTGTTGAGTGCGTTTATCACGAACTTGTGTCCAACTACATATACGCGTTATAGATGTATCCCATCCTTTACTTCCAACGACGGTTGGCGTTTCCGAAAGCCAAAAAGTACCGCTTTTGAGTAAATCGAAACGATCAGCTCGATAGAATATGGCTGAATATTCACCTTTGGTTTTACCATCATCACGACCCACACCATAATGACGGTAGGTAGGCAATGCTGTTTGCAAATCCGTCATTTGTCTAGCTAAAGCTTCTTGAACGCCAAACAGATCAGGTGTTCGATCTTTTATTAATTGAACTACATTAGCTTTTCGATATTGCCATTGANTACCGCTTTTGAGTAAATCGAAACGATCAGCTCGATAGAATATGGCTGAATATTCACCTTTGGTTTTACCATCATCACGACCCACACCATAATGACGGTAGGTAGGCAATGCTGTTTGCAAATCCATCATTTGGCCAGCTAAAGCTTCTTGAACGCCAAACAGATCAGGTGTTCGATCTTTTATTAATTGAACTACTTTAGCTTTTCGGTATCGCCATTGATTTGGCCCATCGGCAGTAGTATCATATCGAATATTGTATGTCATCACACGCAATGCAGTAGCACCACCTTTGGATATCATTGCTATGAGAAAGATCACCTAGTTGTTTGTGTCTAACAAAAGTATCTGCTTACCACATTTTTGTTGTGCATGAACTAGATGAATAGAATATAGAGTGATGATTAGACAAAATAGCACTTTGTTTTATGAAATGATCACGAGTGCAGAAAGTGCAAATATATATGAGGTTATTTTTTATTTTATTTGAAATCGTATTTGAAAAATATTTTTTAAGAGTAATTCGAGTCCTATACAGATTTAATATGAAAATGAAGATTAAGGCAGCTGCATTTATCAATAAGAGCATTTGAAAAACACTATTTAAGAAAGGTTTTTAAATATGTGACCCAGTACGACACTTAAATGACGAATAGAAGATGAAACAGAAACCTTTGCCTTGAAGAAAATTTGCTTTGAAGTTGGAATGGTTTCGGTAAGCGCAATTGTTATGGCCCATTCGTCATTTGAAAGATATCTTTGTTTATGTGTTTTTGCTAGACCATAATCTGTATTAGGCATCAAGTTACCGAGACGGTGGGTTTTTATCAAATATAACAGTCGAGTCTGATGTCACATTAACAGACCTTCTTTCACTAGGAATGTAGTGTGTTTGACATTTTCATGAATTCAAATTGACCACGGCCCGCCATATGCTGAGTGTGATTCGCGTCAATATTATTAGTTGTAATATACTCAACAATCATAGTATGATGTGTATGCACTTTCAGCAAGTAATTGTTGATGGGGAGACACGAAATAAATTTTAAACGATCTTATTTTTACGCTGCAAAACAAAATTAACCCGATGCATGTTAGTTGTATTCAATGTAGAAATAACAACACCGAAATGTACAAGAGAAGGTTCAGTTTCGTGAGCATCATATAGTTGTAATCGAATTGATCGATATTGTCGTTAATATCATAAGAAAAATTAATATGAAGAACATTTGGTCGTTTGTTGAAAGTTTTCTTTAAAAATGAACTGCGATATATACCTGCGAAAGTATTGTATGATCGAGTCAGATGTACTTCCGCGCTTTTGTTTTTATTACTCTCGCCCATACTTGTCATGACTTGCATCATGGGGAAGGAGGAACTCAACTCAGCGCTAAAATTCGAAAAGATATGGATAGATTGATTCTTTGTTGATGAATCGTACTATCAGAGATTTAAGATTTATAGATATCAAATTCTTATCGCATGACAAGATTCAGTAAACAGTCGGGAATATATCATATAGAAGCAAATTTATTGAAGACTACTACAGTTAGAAGTGACATTCGACTTTCACTTGTAGAAATAAACCTCAAGCGCCAATCATGAAGTGAAAGCGATGTACGAAGATGACTAACAATTATTCAACTAACATTACGCCAAATTTCTTGAACATTGAATAATTATGATCATGAAAGTTTGTTAATCAAATATAATGTTCACATATAATTTTTTCAAGCAAGCAAATTAATAGATGTACTCTGACCATTTCTTATCCAGTAAAACAAATCGTTAAATAAAAATTCATGTTTGTTTTGTTCTATTATAATGACAAGATATGACTTCACAAACGACACAGCACTAAGAATTGCAATTCATATAACAAACATGATCATTAACGACGAATAAAGGTGAGAGCATATCGCCGAAAACGTTGGCAAACTAAGAGAAATTCTTTTCGAAATGTAACTGATGCCAATGTATAGATATAAAATGTGATCTATTTTCAAGAAAAACGATTGTAGAATATGATTGAGAAAACAAAAAGATTTCTTTCTCTTATAAAAACATACCGCACAATGTGTATAAAGAAGATTTGTGGTCATTCGACCAATAAAATTGTTGATTACTTGCTGTTCGGGGCTCTTTTTCGAATTTCTTGTTATAAAGATATATAGGATATGAACAGCTTTGGGCAAATTGATGATGATATACGATGAGACTTGAATAAGACTTAGTTTGATCAATTGGAAATTTCGAGTGGATGTTCGATGATGTTGTCTGTTTTGAGCAGGTATCGCTCGACCATTGTTTTGTTCGTTTAATTCAATAAATTGAATCTGTGATGTATGTTTGTTAATCACATTTTTCTTGAATAGACGTATTAAAGTTAAACTTGTAAATAAAATTAAAATAAATAAAGGTAGTAAAGTTATAATAAGACCAAGAATGAGATAGAATGTTGAATAAACTGAATTTATTGAGATGTCGCAAATCTGATTCTTTAAAGTAAATCCTATTGCTGAATGAATATTGAATATGAGCCAAATGGTGGTTGTGATCACAAGAACTCGACGAATGACGGATATATTACTCAATTGACGGATTCGTGCTTGAAAGGATGTTATCAACCATCGATCAATAGATATCAGACATATATAATAACGGGATAAGAAAATACCATTAAAGATGAAATAGACGAAAAATTTACACCAAAATAAGGAATAGAGAGCGATATCGAATTCACTTATTGCAAATATAACTTGACTAAAGCAAGGGATACAAAGAACGATGATGTGAACGATGGAAAGACTAATGAAATACAGTGAACAACCTGTATTCTTTAATGTATTTTGACAAAAGACTAATATATTTAGGAAGTTTCCGATGATGCCAAAAAAACATATTGCGCCTAAGTAATAAATATTGAAATTGAGTAAAATATGACTGAGTCGGGTTGCTAATGTCGACATTGAATTAATAAAATCTAGAATGAAAAATTTTGTTGTAAATCAGCTATTTTATCTGTTATGTTATGTAGATAAACTGATCGTGAAATTCAGTATATAACAAAGTCCACAAGTGTATTATAACACCGGATGCTTACTTTAGCACAACAATACTAGAAAAAGGGAGAGATAAATGATGAGATCTACGTGAACCAGCAACAATATATTCCCATTTAAGCACACTTAATGGCCAACTATTACCTCTTTCTTGCGAGAAATTATCATTTCACATCATATATACAGTAACTAATCGTAATTATCAAGATTCTCTATACATACAGATGACTTCAGTTGATGTTATGAACCGCTCATTACTACGTGAAACTTTTATACTGAAGTAAATATCCGGCTTCTGCGGCTCTCATCTCCTACATATAGGTTTAGATAAAGTATATATCAACACGCAGAACATTTATAGTAAAGTAAGTACTTGACATCTGCTGTTCAGGGTGGTTGTGCGCAAACAACAACAGAGGATTTGTCTTCACTCTCAGGTAAAAAAACTGCGTTAGATCTTGTAATATCTGGACTCTTAACTACATGATAAATCACCAAGTGTATGATAACGATAAAAAGCTTTGCACTAGTAAAAGTTAGTTCTCTTTAAATAATTAAGTCTTACTTGTTCTTGAAAATTAACAAAACACGGTTATGTTAGCACATAATAAGGATTACTTGTTTCTGGCAAGAGCAGAAGAAATATTCTAGGTCGTAGTAAACAACAACAATCAAGCATCTCTTTAAACACGAGAAAATTCTCCAAGTTCTCATCTGTATATTTCTTTTTGATCATTGCCATTTATTTCAAAAAGGGTATTCAATTTCTACAAAGCTTGTGGAGGATGTGTGTCACACATTCAAGTCTGCCGTTAGGTCTTGCAAAGGTCTGTTCGCGCTGATTCCGGGAGAACGAGTATTCGTGGCCGTATTCCACATCGAGCTTGGGTGACAAATGAATTCTTGTTCGAAAATCACGTCGAGTTTATCCAAACCCATCATATTCCTTAGACTTGAGTTCATGGAAGTTCTTCCTCTTTCCAAAACAGCAAAGTCAACTGCGCCGAGTTCGACTTACTACGGCAACAAAGTCTCTATGTCATGTATTGTTATGTATCGTTTCAAAACTCTTGCTCACCAGTAATTCTCTCCATGCATAACGACTAGAGTGTGGTTGAATTAGTAAGTGAATTAATTACACTTCCATCCGTTCACTCTCTTATGTTTATTTCAGACAGCAACTAGTTCTCATTATTTGGCTTTTAGCATAGCAACTCGTGACGTAAATGAGAAATCATTTGTTTCTTTATTAATGAAACCATTTTGTAGAAAAAACAAATAGACACAGAGACCAAAATGTTATTGGGTTAAATAATGATATACGAATAATTCTGCTTGCGTAAAGCCTAAATGTAATTTTTCTGTTGTGCTTTTTTGCTTCACCACGTGATAGTGTCTATGAGAGAAAGGTAAAAAACACTACCGCAGTATCGACTCGTATTGAAGCTATAAGGAAATCGATCACTTGTTAAATTTTCGCACCTTGTTGAAGAACAAACAATAAACAAAATGTTGTATTTCTTCTAATAGCCAATGTTCCAACAGATGTTTGCAACAGCTTTAAATTGAACCTTTTAATAGCGCGTTCTGCCATTCTACTTCGTCAACTATTTAAACATCGTTATGTTGCGTTCAACCATGGTAGTACATGGAATGATTCGGCAACAACTACTTAACGTTATCACAAAAAGGAAAAACAGTCGACTTTAACAGCAGTACAGGGAATAAATATTTCTAGTGGAGATTCCAGCCAATGGAATATTTCAATGTTGATAGCTCTGTTATTAGATATCGACCGTCTGCAAACACTCAATAAAAAGAAGATCAACGTCTTACGAAGTTGCGAATTATTCGGAAAGACCTATATAGCTCATAATACATCAAAATCATTCACGGACGCTGAAATCATTCAACGTTGATCCGATCTATCGAAGATATTAGTAGCGTTTGGTGATGTTACAAGCGTATTCAGTGAATTAAAGGATGATAATGTGCTCAATAAAAATTCCGAGTCAATAAACGACTAAAGCGTGAACGAAACATTAAGATTAAATTCATTAGCGACTCAAGCTCACAAGAATGCGAAGTTCTCCAATGCTATTCTATTATTTACCGAAGCGACCGCGTTATCGAATGTTTCAGCACATGATCGTGGGATATCGAGCTTTACACGAAGCCAAAAAAGCTCGACATCTTTCGCCAATATGCTGGAGAGGACATTTTCATATTACCACAGCATGTGCAGCTTTAAATAAACATGAGAAAGCTATCACTTCGTATGAGTGTGCTTTAGCTCCTGATCCAATAAACACTCAAATACAAAAAACATTGTTTGAGAGTCAACTTGTACACGGTCGACAACTACGACAAGAGCATCTGGACCCGAGATTTCAACCAAAAAACAATGCCTGAGAATTCAAATGAAATGCGAGAACAATTTGGCGCAGATCCTAGTGAAAAAAGATTATAGGACATCAGTTATTTGAACNGTTTATCACGAACTTGTGTCCAACTACATATACGCGTTATAGATGTATCCCATCCTTTACTTCCAACGACGGTTGGCGTTTCCGAAAGCCAAAAAGTACCGCTTTTGAGTAAATCGAAACGATCAGCTCGATAGAATATGGCTGAATATTCACCTTTGGTTTTACCATCATCACGACCCACACCATAATGACGGTAGGTAGGCAATGCTGTTTGCAAATCCGTCATTTGTCTAGCTAAAGCTTCTTGAACGCCAAACAGATCAGGTGTTCGATCTTTTATTAATTGAACTACATTAGCTTTTCGATATTGCCATTGATTTGGTCCATCGGCAGTAGTATCAAGTCGAATTTTGTATGTCATGACACGCAATGCAGTAGCACCACCTTTAGATATCATTGCTATGAGGGAGATCACTTAGTTGTTTGTGTCTAACAAAAGTATCTACTTACCACATTTTTGTGGTGCATGAACTAGATGAATGGAATATAGAGTGATGATTAGACGAAATAACATTTTGTTTTATGAAATGATCACGAGTGCGAAAAGTGCAAATATATATGAGGTTATTTATTTTATTTGAAATCGTATTTGAAAAACACTATTTAAAAAAGTTTTTTAAATATGAGGAACAAAGTGAAGAATAGAAGATGAAAGAGAAAAATTTGTCCTTGAAGGAAATTTGCTGAGTTCGAAGTCCGAATGTCTTCGGCGATCGTGTTTGTTATGGTCCATTCATCATTTGAAAGATATCTTCGTTTATGTGTTTTTGTTAGACCATAATCTGTATTAGGCATCAAGTTACCGAAACGACGGATTTTTATCAAATATGTCTCATTTGCAAGAGTTTCGATTGGCAAAGTTGTGTTCGTATTGTTTAATTTATTATTCATTGCCAATGGTCACATTACAGTCGAATGTGATGTTACATTAACAGATCTTCTTTCACTGGGAATATAGTGTGTTTGACATTTTCATGGATTCAAATTGACCACGTTCCGCCATATGCTGAGTGTGATTCGCGTCAACATTATTAGTTGTAATATACTCAACAATCATAGTATGATGTGCAACGTCACAAAACAGAATTAACACGATGCATGTCAGTTGCATTCAATTTAGAAATAGCAACACCGAAGTGTACAAGAGAAGGTTCAGTTTCGTAAGCACCATATTGCCAACTAATATTCACAGTCGAATCATTGTAGACATCGATCACTCGTATCAATAGTTGTAATCGAATTGATCGATATTGTCGTTAATAGCATAAGAAGAATTAATACGAAGAACATATGGTCGTTTGTTGAAAGTTTTCTTTAAAAATGAATTGTGATGTATACCTGCGAAAGTATTGTCTGATCGAGTCAGATGTACTTGCGTGCTTTTGTTTTCATTATACTCTCACCCATACTTATCATGACTTGGCATCATGGGGAAGGAGACACTCAACTTAGCGCTAGAATTCGAAAAGATATAGATGGATTCATTCTTTGTTGAATCGTATTATCAAAGATTTATAGATATCAAATTCTTATCGCATGACAAGATTCAGTAAACAGTCGGGAATATTTATTGAAGACTACTACAATTAAGGGTGACATTCGACTTTTATTTGTAGAAATAAGATACAGTTCAAGTGCCAACCATGAAGTGAAAGCGATGTACGAAGATGACTAACAATTATTCAACTAACATTACGCCAAATTTCTTGAACATTGAATAATTATGATCACGAAAGCTTGTTAATCAAATATAATTTTTTCAAGCAAGCAAATTAATAGATCTACTCTGATCATTTCTTATCCAGTAAAACAAACCGTTAAATAAAAATTCATGTTTGTTTTGTTCTATTATATTGACAAGATACGACTTCACAAACGACACAGCATTAAGAATTGCAAATCATATGACAAAACATGATCATTAACGACGAATAAAGACGAGAACGTATCGTCGGAAACGTTGGCAAACCAAGAGAAATTCTTTCCGAAATGTAATTGATGACAATGTATAAATATAAAACGTAATCTATTTTCAAGACAAACGATTGTAGAATATGATTTAGAAAACAAAAAGATTTCTTTCTCTTATAGAAACATACCGCACAATGTGTATAAAGAAGATTTGTGGTCATCCGACCAATAAAATTGTTGATTGCCAGCTGTTCGGGACTCTTTTTCGAATTTCTTGTTAGAAAGATATATAGTATATGAACAGCTTTGGGTAAATTGACGATGATATACGATGAGACTTGAATAAGACTCAGTTTGATCAATTGAAAATTTCGATTAGATATTCGATGATGTTGTCTGTTTTGAGCAGGTATCGCTCGACCATTATTTTGTTCGTTTAGTTCAATAAATCGAATCTGCGATGCTTGTTTGTTAATCAAATTTTTCTTAAATAGGCGTATTAAAGTTAAACTTGTAAATAAAATTAAAATAAATAAAGGTAGGAAAGATACAATAAGACAAAGAATGAGATAGAATGTTGAATAAACTGAATTAATTGAGATGTCACAAATATGATCCTTTAAGGTAAATCCTATTGCTGAATGAATATTAAATATGAGCCAAATGGTTGTTGTGATCACAAGAATTCGACGAATGACGGATATATTACTCAATTGACGGATTCGTGCTTGAAAGGATGTTATCAACCATCGATCAATAGATATCAGACATATATAATAACGGGATAAGAAAATACCGTTAAAGATGAAATAGACGAAAAATTTACACCAAAATAAGGAATGGAGAGCGATATCGAATTCACTTATTGCAAATATAACTTGACTAAGACAAGGAACACATAGAACGATGATGTGAACGATGGAAAGACTAATGAAATACAGTGAACAACCAGTATTCTTTAATGTATTTTGACAAAAGACTAATATATTTAGAAAATTTCCGATGATGCCAAAAAAACATATTGCGCCTAAGTAATAAATGTTGAAATTGAGTAAAATATGACCGAGTCGAGTTGCTAATGTCGACATTGGATTAATAAAGTTTAGAATAAAAAAGTTTGTTGTAAGTCAGCTATTTTATCTGCTATGTAGATAAACTATTCGTGAAATTCATTAGATAACAAAGTCCACAAGTGTATTTTTACACCGGATGCTTACTTTAACATAACACTACTAGAAAAAGGGAGAGATAAGTGATGAGATCTACGTGAACCAGCGACAATATATTCCCATTTAAGCACATTTAATAACCAACTATTACCTCTTTCTTGCGAGAAATTATCATTTCACATCATATATGCAGTAACGAATCGTAATTATCAAAACTCTCTATACATAAAGATGACTTCAATTGATGCTATGAGCCATTCATTACTACGTGAAACTCTTATACTAAAATAAATATCCGGCTTCTGTGGCTCTCATCTTCTACATATAGGTTTAGATAAAGTATATATCAACACTCAGAGCATTCATGGTAAAGAAAGTACTTGACATCTGCTGTTCAGGGTGGTTGTGCGCAAACAAGAGCAGAGAATTTGTATTTACTCTTAGGTAAAAAAACTGAGTCAGATCTTGTAATACCTAGACTCCTAACTACATAATAAATCACCTAGTGTATGATAACAATAAAAACCTTTGCACTGGTAAAACTTAGTTCTCTTAAAATAATTAAGTCTTACTTGTTCTTGAAAATTAGCAAAACATGGTTATGTTAGCACATAATAAGGATTACTTGGTTCTGGCAAGGGTAGAAGAAATATTCTAGGTCGTAGTGTAAACAACAACAATCAAGTATCTCTTTAAACACGAGAAAATTCCCCAAGTTCTCATCTGTATATTTCTTTCTGATCACTGCCATTTATTTCAAAAAGGGTATTCAATTTCTACAAAGCTTGTGGAGGATGTGTGTCACACATTCAAGTCTGCCGTTAGGTCTTGCAAAGGTCTTTTTGCGTTAATTTCGGGAGAACCGGTACTCGTGGCCGTATTCCACATCGAGCTTGGGTAACAAATGAATTCTTGTTCGAAAATCACGTCGAGTTTATCCAAACCCATCATATTCCTTAGACTTGAGTTCATGGAAGTTCTTTCTCTTTCCAAAACAGCAAAGTCAACTGCGCCGAGTTCGATTTACTACGGCAACAAAGTCTCTATGTCATGCATTGTTATGTATCGTTTCAAAAATCTTTCTCACCAGTAATTCTCTCCATGCATAACGACTAGAGCGTGGTTGAATTAGTAAGTGAATTAATTACACTTCCATCCGTTCACTCTCTTATGTTTATTTCAGACAGCAACTAGTTTTCATTATTTGGCTTTTAGCATAGCAACTCGTGACGTAAATGAGAAATCATGTGTTTCTTTATTAATGATATGCGAATAATTCTGCTTGCGTAAAGCCTAAATGTAATTTTTCTGTTGTGTTTTTTTGCTTCACCACGTGATAGTGTCTATGAGAGAAAGGTAAAAAACATTACCGCAGTATCGACTCGTATTGAAGCTATAAGGAAATCGATCACTTGTTAAATTTTCGTACCTTGTTGAACAACAAACAATAAACAAAGTGTTGTATTTCTTCCAATAGCCAATGTTCCAACGGATGTTCGCAACAGCTTTAAATTGGACCTTTTAATAGCGCGTTCTGCCATTCTACTTCGTCAACTATTTAAACATCGGTATGTTGCGTTCAACCATGGTAGTACATGGAATGATTCGGCAACAACTACTTAACGTTATCACAAAAAGGAAAAAAAGTCGGCTTTAACAGCAGTACAGGGAATAGATATTTCTAGTGGAGATTCCAGCCAATGGAATATTTCAATGTTGATAGCTCTGTTATTAGATATCGACCGTCCGCAAACACTCAATAAAAAGAAGATCAACGTCTTACGAAGTTGCGAATTATTCGGAAAGACCTAGATAGCTCATAATACATCAAAATCATTCATGGACGCTGAAATCATTCAACGTTGGTCCGATCTATCGGAGATATTAGTAGTGTTTGGTGATGTTACAAGCGTATTCAGTGAATTAAAGGATGATAATGTGTTCAATAAAAATTCCGAGTCAATAAACGACGAAAGCGTGAACGAAGCATTAAGATTAAATTCATTAGCGACTCAAGCTCACAAGAATGCGAAGTTCTCCAATGCTATTCTATTATTTACCGAAGCGATCGCGTTACTGAATGTTTCAGCACATGATCGTACGATATCGAGCTTTACATGAAGCCAAAAAAGCTCGACATCTTTCGCCAATATACTGGAGAGGACATTTTCATATTACCACAGCATGTGCAGCTTTAAATAAATATGAGAAAGCTATCACTTCGTATGAGTGTGCTTTAGCTCCTGATCCAATAAACACTCAAATACAAAAAACATTGTTTGAGAGTCAACTTGTACACGGTCGACAACTACGACAAGAGCATCTGGACCCGAGATTTCAACCAAAAACAATGCCTGAGAATTCAAATGAAATGCGAGAACAATTTGGCGCAGATCCTAGTGAAAAAAGATTATAGGACATCAGTTATTTGAACAGTACGATCCTGTGATGGCAGATGTAGTCAGAGGACTTAAATATGAACATGGAGATATAGACGTTAAGCAAGATTACGAACAAGCTGCTAAATACTTCACTTAGGCAGCTAGTCAACGGATTGCTGAAGGGATATGCAATTTAGCCCGATTGGCTGATCCAGGTTTAGATGTAAAAAAAGATCATAAGGCAGCTTTTAAACTATATGAACAAGCTGCTGACCAGTCATCACATAGCTCTCTATCTTCATTTTTACCAAATCTTGGTGTAGCTGAGTCTGAGCACACTTTGAGACTCAAGTGTGCCGAACGTGCTGTTGTTCACAAACATCTAAAACTTTATCTCCAAGTGTACTTAATACTCTAAGTCAAATTTATAAAAAGGGTAAAAAAGCGGAACGAACTCAATTCGAATGCTTTTTACCTTACGATGCCAATCTATATCATCAGAAATTCATATATAACAGAAAAAAAACCTAATATAAACTATCTATTTCAATCGTAGAGGAAATTATCTCAGGTCTATAATGAAAACTAAATATATATGATTAAATGCTGCGAATAAATATTCAACAGAAAGGAAACTGTAGATGAATGCAGAACGAAATGGCTCAGTTTTTCACTTCTAGAACTATTTATAAAGTTAATTGAAGTCGAAATACTTCAAAAGATAGATCGTGCAAAAGTTAGTTCATTCTGCTACTTGATGTTAATTGATACTTTCAAAATCTCAATGAAAAGCGAAAGAATTTGTCTCTTCGTTTCTAGTTGTTTATTACATATAAGAAAAAACACCTTTTAATACGATACAGATGAGAGGATTATGTCAAAGGAATAATCATCAATTTGTTTTCTTCAAAATAAATCCGTACGTGTTACATAAACACCTGGATAATCTCTCAAACGATTGATTGGCATTGCTTGAGGTACAACAGCGTGTTTTTCTCGTCGAAAAAATCCGATAATCTTTCGAATTGTTGCTCGAAATTCCGGTAATAAAACGATCAACACAAACGGAGTTAATAATGCAATAAAAGATATTAAATATATACCAATTTCAAAGAAATCAGCGCCTACATCATATGATACACCAGCTGTGTAAGCTGTATACAAGACCATTGCTGGAAAAGCGAGAACGAAATATAGAAAAGATATGGATAATAATTGAAAGAGCATTTTTCTATAATTTCGCCATGGAAATCGTTGACCCATTCGATATTTACTATACCAAACACGAACGATGAGTGCAAAACTAAAGAGTACTATCGCAAAAATAGGTAGTATACTGTTTACAATGCTATCCCATAGAGCAAATGATGTATCTACATATGCACAAGAACCGATTCCACATCGAAGTTGATTGTAATCAAATGGAATGTCACAAGGTATCAGAAAAAATACAATAAAATAATAAATAAATGGATAAATCGCGAATATCATCAAGGGCACATAGTGAAACATCAAACGTCTCAATGGTGTTGCACTAAAATTTTGATGAAAAATCAACATATGCCGTTCAATCGATGCCCAAGCGGTGAGCATAATCACTGACGTAAATACTGCGAAATCTAAATAAATCCAAGTGAGACAGAATGCAGGCGTTGATAGTAACGATGAATTCGTATGATAATAAAATATACACCAAACAGTATCGGTGAGCGTGAAGAAAAGAGCAAAAATAAGAATAAAGATAATAACATGATTGCTTAGTTCTTCGCGATATGTTCGTTTCGTAAGAAGATAATAGATATTAAAGATACTGCATAATGTTGAAGGTACTATGAAGATCGTGAACATCCAAAAACTAATCAGATTCGAGATTGTCATGTCGATTGATTTGTATAGAAGGTGTAAATGAAAGAATTAGCACAGAGTGAAAACTAATTTCCAAGGGCGTTGCGTTCTCCTCTTAAATGTTTTTCTTTGAATATGAATATAGATATTTACTCTGACGTGAGAGGTAGGTGTTCGAGCGAGAACAACTGTCGTCAGAAAAGTTCATTTCTTCTTATCTAAAATAATCGGTTGACTTAACAAAACTTGCTTGATTATCAAATCTGCGTATGCGCCAGTGACTTTTTCGGGTGAATGTGTTCAAACGAAAAAACAAACAAATATAAATATTCCATTTACTTTATTTTCAGCTATGTTAGAAAAGTATTTAAGCCATAATGAATTACTCGAATAGAATCACTATTTTATGAACTTTTTAACAATAGTTACTAAAAGAATATATCTCGAGGGTGAGGATGAACAATCAGCAACCTTACCATTGTTCCACAAAACATCTTGATAGTGACCACATTGACTAACATGTAGTCTAGCTTACAAAAGACATGTTTGAATTGTTGACGAAATCGTCTCGATACACAAACGTATATGTAGAAAAGACTCTAAAAAAAGAATAATCAGAAATCATTTCAACAAGTAATTATTCTACTCACTGCCAATGCAACAGTATGTAGATTAATACTTAAAATCAAAAGAAAGAGATTGAAATTATCACTTGGCAAATAAAATGTGGTAATAAATACTATTACATATGGTAATAAAACAATCGAATTGAAAATAACTTGAACAAGAACCATCCGTGTTAATTGTTTATCCAGCTCANAAACGTTAGACCTTTATTGAGATCTATTTCTTATATATTAATGATCCTACGAGGGCTTCTGGTGTCGATAAGTTTTTTTAAACGACAGATGCACCCTCAGAGTTAAAAAGTGTGATTTCTGATGCTATCGATGATGCTCTACAACGTGCGTATATTGGTTTTGTCAAATTGAATATATCGATTTTCCTCACGCTGGTGGACCGTTACGTGGACAGGTCGACCTGTGTATACCGATGGACATAGGCTGACGTATAGCTCGACTGAGAGTAATCCTGAGACTATGTATAACAAAATCTATTCCTAAGCATGCGTGGGAGTGTATTAGGAATTCGTCACTTATATTATAAGTCGAATTAGGCAGCTACTCCAAGACGAAAAGTATATAGCTGCTATCTAACTCGTAAATCAATATATCAATTTCAACAAGTAAAATTTGAGTGGGCAAAAACTTACTCAAAAGTATTTCAATGGGCAATTGCACATCCCCCTGGTTGCGCCACTGGCTTCGTTTCAGTTTATCAACATCATATTGGCCGTTCGTATCGTCATCGTCTGATTTAACAACATTAACGTAAGAAAGAACTGGAAATGAAATTGATCAAATAGTTCGATTAAAAGTAAAGAAAACTATTTCTATTATAGTTATTATTATTTAATTATTGCATTCAGATGGATGAAGATTCTAGTTGTATTAAATTTTCTGACGGTTTAATATTTGATGAAACAAAGAAAAGTATTGTTGATATTCAAACAAAATCGATAGTGTATTCCGAACTATCACGTGACATTTCATCTTCAACATGAGAATTAAATATTCAAAATTAAAACGAATGAGGAATTTCAACAGCTGATGGTTTTAAATCGTGAAAAATTTGTTCAAAATCCGGTCGATTACGTGGATTTTGATGCCAACACTTTTGAATAAAATGTTTCAGAAAAATCGGTGTTTTTCCACTTATTCTTGGTCGATTTCCTAGTTTCGCATGATTAACAGCACCGAATGGACCTCGTCCTGCAAAATTTTGAAATTGATCTGCATACGGTTCTTCTTCTTGAAGAATTTCATTGAACATTATTCCGAAAGAATAAACATCACTTGAATNGAAGACTTAAAAATACGATGAGGCTTAATAATCCACCGAGAACACCAAGTATAAAAGTTGGAATACATGAATAGATTACGTAGGATATCCTAGCTCTCGATTCGAGTATTTCCAAGCCCAATTCGTCTGTGAGATCATTTCAACTATATCAAGAATCCTCTCAGTTAACAGCAAAAGGAGTATCCATTCTAAAAGATAGATACACGCGAATCTGATTACTCTAAATTTGCTTTAAAAAAAAACGGACAATGTTAAAATTCATTGTGCATTGTTTCGTTTCCTACATCCTCGATTGAAAACTATATATATCCAGTTGAAATCTTCAACTTTGAGAACCTGACTGATGAAAATAAGAAGATGGACTGCGTGATCTGAACTGAAGATATCTACTTCGCTCAACACATGCATTGAAAGAATACGATAGATGAATTTTTGGCCACCTTTGTTTGTTGAGCATAGGTGTGAAAAGACCATAGGAAACTTCGATTCTAACTCTATGATCACAAATACAGTCGTAAAGAAATTATATCATACATCTTGTTTCAATCACCAGAGACGTAGTGCCTTAGATCTTCACTAAAGTATTTCTAATTGAGATTTAATTGTAGTCTCGAGCAATCGGTCATCGGCATCCCTTTCGTCCGCCACTTCCGACGGTTCCGTATTGCATCTGACATCTTACTCAACACAACATAACACTACTTCTATACAACTGTAGCAGCACATAACCAGCCATCTAGAGCCAGCATCTGTGAAACTGTGCACTTGTACTACTAACCAATCAGATATTTCCACTCTCAATCGAATTATAGTCCACTCATATAAGTCACCATAATCTGATTGGTAAGTTTTAGCAACGTTGAATTCCCGTTGGTGAATTTTCAAAAGGGATTTTTTTCTATGTTCATTGACCTATGAGTTATTTGGAAAAAAAACGATGTTTTTTTACCTTTGGCCTTTGACCCGCGACAAATAAACACAGTTCGTTTTTTTTTGGGCACTAAACACCCTCCTTCCAATCGAGGGAACAACACATAAGCCTAAGAGCGAGCAAGAGATCTAAATCCTTACTCTCTATATTATTTTATTATATATGAAGATAAGAAAAATGCCGTAATGGCGACACGCAATACTAGAAGAGAATCACACTGAAACAAATGACACGCATGCAAATAAAGTTTAATTTTTCAAATATCGAATACCAAAATAAGCAACCATGCGACATCCAATAATAAAACAAAGTAATATGCTGATACATCCGCCAATACTGATATAATCCAAACCAAGCTTTGCAATGGTTGTTTCTCCATCGGATATACAGTTACCTGAAGCAGTTTCGTTCATAGTACATGATAGCTTAAGACCTTGTAATTCATTTAAACTAAGACCAACATAAACATATTTAATGTAAGCAAGCGCATCGATCCAAACGAAATATTTTGGCAAATAAGCTGGTGCTAAGAAAAAGCCACCAAACAGACGTGTAACTTCTAGTGCCATAGGTAGAACAGTAACACTCATGTCCGTTGTTTTACATAGGGCAGAAATCATTAGCGCTAAGGACGTGGCAGCAAACGAACAGAGAGTGATCAGCAATGTAAAAATAAAAAATTTGCTAACAACTAACTGAAGTCCCACCATAAAATAAACGATACATGACTGAAAGAAGAAAAAAAACAAAAAATGAAAATATCTAATCGATAAGCTTTACTTACAAAAATGACTGGAACTGGAATTTGAACAAATGTATCAATCAGAATCTTCGCCATGAAATACGCACTAGCATAATATGTTCCTGCTGCACGTTCACGTAGTGATAATTCTCTTTCGGAAGGAAATGAATTAATGACCATTAAAGCTCCAAAAACACCTTGATTAATAGCACAGAAAAATAGAACCGGACTTCGACGAATCGTACTTGATTGTGTCGTTCCAATTTGAAAGAAAACACCACCAATTAAAACAGCCATAATAATTGTTTGTAAGATCGACGTTATAATAATTTGAGATGAACGAATTTGTTCTTGAGCATTTCTCTGGAGAAGAATATAGACTTGTCGAATCCAAATAGGATGTTTAGGTAAATTAGCCATTTGATCGAAACGTTTATCTGCACCCATCTTCAAATCAATTTTTAACGGTTTTTGTGCAGCTAAGATTAATGCATCCACAGTTGCTTGCTCTTCTGATGAATTTGCCCGATCGTCTATAGTTTTTGAAGGTGTAATAACATCTAATACATGATCGGCCGGATTTGTATACAATGGACATGGATAACCAGCTTTTTTAAATACATCCTTCGAAGGAGAAAAAGAAAGTTTTGAAAATTATTCATAATATAAATTCTCTTACCATCACACGTTTTTGAGGTCCTTGAAAAAGAATATTTCCAGCTTTGAGTAAAATCAATGAATCGAATAAATGAAATATTTTCGATTGTGGTTGATGAATAGAACAGACAATAGTGACAGCTTTTTCTGTCGATCTACCATGTGCTAATAAATGAAACGTTTTTAATAGATCTAATGCTGTAACAGAATCAAGTCCTGATGTTGGTTCATCGAGAAAAAGTAATTGTGGTCGACTCAGTAATTGCATACCTACACATAAACGTTTTCGTTCACCACCAGATATACCTTTTTGAAATGTTGTTCCAATAATAACATCTTTAGCATGTTCAATACCCATTTCTACCATTACATCCTTTACGCGTTTGTTTCGTTCTTCTTTTCTAAATGTTCGAGGTAAACGAAGTTCAGCTGTATACATTAATGTTTCATGAACTGTTAAATGCCCATTGAGTAAATCATCTTGCATTACATAGCCAGCCATTCGTTTTAATTCAGCATTATTATATGGAGCACCATTAAGAGACATTTCACCATGAACAATTGTATTTGTATCTAAACGACATGCCAATGTGTTTAATAAAGTTGATTTTCCTGAACCTGATGGACCTTTAAAAAATAAAACATATTTTACAATTCATATGAAATGAATATTTACCCATAACAGCCCATAGTCCACCCGTAATTGCACCACTAACATTATTCAATAAACATTGTCGTTTTGGTGTAAATTTTTTCCAAAATTTAAGATGTTGAAAATATTCTTTTGCTTTATCTTCACGAGTTAAAACGGTTAAATTTTTCCAAACAAGTATTGTACTAACACGATCAGAAAGTGGATCAAGTGTTGATAATTGTCGCTCAAATGATTCAGTTCTCGTCAAACCATCAGATGATTGATTATCATTTTTATTTGTATGATCAGATGTTCGTATCGTAACAGTAGTAAAATTCTTCGCACTACTTATATAACCATTGTTCTCCATGAGTTTCAAATCAATTGAATCTATTCAGGAATTTGTTTTATCTACAAAAATTAAAATATACATATAATTCTTTCGTTAACTTTATCTATAAAGATTACTGAGTCTTCGATTAGATATTATTCGAAAAAAATAATGATTGACGTGCTCAAATGACTCTATAAAAATGTATGATGATGACTATCTCCTAGTTTCATTTTATGTTTCATACATTGCATCGTCCGCTATGCTATATGCGACACATTTTAATGTATGGCATGACCTCATTCACAACAGAGAAAGAGGTCAGGCTGAGAAAAGAAAAAGAAATAATTGAAACTATCGAGGTGGATATATGCACTCGGCTGTCATGATACTAATGTACATATGTGAAAGTTCAAGAATAAAAAGAAACTAAGAGCAAAGAGAATGAACAAAAAATTGAATTATGTCTCATTGATCAGCATGTATACTTCAAAAATAGTTTATTGATTGATGTAAAATGTAACAAATTTTTAGACGAAAACGACGGAATAGAGCTTTTAAAGAGAATCAAATTCAATTTTTAGATTATGAATCATATCGGCAAGACGTTATGAGGTTAAAAGAACATGCATTCATTATTTTAGAATCAGACAAACACATTGAAATTTAATACGCGTTAGCGGTAACAGATAGTATATTGTTATCGCTACCTTTTTCGTTTTCGTTTTCCTTCTTGTTCAGATCTATATGTCCTGTGTGCGGTTCGATGCCATGATATATATATATTAGAGGGAGTACCCGCTGCAAATAAGAAATATCTATGTCGAACATCTCACGTGTTGAAGAGCTATAACAGATAGAAAATCAGTATAATTCAAATTTCTACGCTTCCAATCCTTATTTTCCCGCCGTGCATCGCATAAAATGGCAGCTTTGGCTATATATTTTTATGTAAAAGAGTTACCGAAGCTAATTTCTGCCTCAGAAATCATGAAAATTTCCTCTTTCTCTGATATTCATTTTCTACTCCAGCTATTCATTCATCGACCTCTTTCTCACTCTCATGTCATTTCACACATTAGATCCTTCGAATTCACCCACCCTCAATATTTATCTTAATCTTTTGAGATCCTGTAACGCTATTGGCGAGTTTCGCAGATTATCTGTAGCATTCACCGAACTATCATAGGCGTAGAAAACATGTGGCTTGTTGTCTTTGAGCGTTCAGACGGTCTTCGCTATTGATTTCACCCACTTTTGAAATCCTGCAATTCTATTGGTCAGTTTCATAGATTGCCTGTGGCAAACGGCTGGTTCCTTTGTTCTCGGGGGAAAATAGATGTCAACTTTCCTCTGGGCTCATGGAAGCATCGTGGAAAGTTTCACGCCGATAGCTATTACGTGGACTGAATGCATAGCGCACAAACAAACAGGCAAACTTTCTTCTTCATATATATATATATAGAAGATATATCTTTTCTCTTTCTCTCTGGTTTTCTCTCTATGCCGCCTGCCGGACCTCTCTTTGAACTTGTAAGATCAGAGAGATCGAGCTGTCTTTGAACCGTGATCGACATCGGTCGCTTCTTGTTTTTCTTTCTCGTCGTTTATCAATAAACGGTACCATGAAGACCTCGAATCATCTCCTTCATTCCTTCAACTACGAAGTAGGACAACCACACACATTAACTGAACCGATACAGATCATTGGCTATCTATTACTTTCCGTCCCGCCTATTAACGTCTAGTGGGCAGGAGTCTTTGGTTTATACGAAAAAGCTAACATCTTCACCATCACCCACAATACTATCGATTATTACCTTATCTAAGAAACTTAAATGCGGCTTCGTTTTTCTATTCTCTGAAATTCTAATCAATTTTACATTTTTTTTATTCGTTTTATCTTTTCCATTCGAACGTTTTCTCTTATCAAATGTCTTTAGACAGACATATTTTGACTGGTGAGAAAAAACGATAAGTAACATTAACACGATATTTCATACATTGCCTATTACCGTCATCTGCTTGGTTCTGTACATACACGTTTTCGTATGCTTCTTTTCTTTTTTTATATAAGAAGGTTTTTATACTGAATTTCCAAGACAACCATATCAAAACAAAGACACAACGAAAGGAACAATGAAATCACTAATAGACATATTATTTTACACATTAATATATAACTTATCTTTTTAATATAGTCAATCTTATTCTCAATCAATGAGTTTTGAATATACAAATATTCCAAATGAATCCCGATATACTGCTTATATTGATAACCTGAAAAGAATACGGTTTTCAAGAAAACTTATGGTGCAAATTGGTATTGGTATTACAGCAATTGTAGTAATTGTTGCATTGGTTATCATAATCATGCATATAAGTAAACATAGAAAAGTTTCGGACATACCTATCCATATTAACTCAACAGTAATATTCGAAAGCACTTCGACGAAAACACCATTTTACACTACTTCTACGACGACATCATTTTACACTACTTTCACAACAAAAAGAATATCAACTGTTATTTTTACAACACCGATAATAGGTTATACTTTTTTCTTTATAGGCGGAGATCTGTCATCATTTCGTTCGCTATGTATTTGGAAAAATATGATTTATTCTAAGACAAAACTCACTCCGAAGTTGTACAAAAATTTTTATTCAACTGGAAAAACACTTTCATTTTTTCTATAGATCACGCGTCACGTTTCAATATCGACACAGATGAAAGCTGAAAGCTTTTTTCGATTCAGATACTAGTATGATTTGTACGTTCCAGTTATTGATAAGGATGCTTTCAATGAGTTTATCTACTATCTTCCCTTACGTCAGTTACTATAGAATATTTCGATAACAATTGAATGCTATCTTGTTCTCATCACGCGAGCAAACTTTCAAGCATGTTGTCTGAGTTATGTATAATTAAGGTCGTCGATAGGAATTAAATCAACTCGCCACACTGTTACTTACACCCTCGTCCTCAATTTGATTAGAAATTGTACTTCAAAATCTAATTTTCGCTTTTAGACCAAATCAAATGGAAAAAAAATGGAACTCCTATTGCTGGAGGACACGGATCCGGATCTGATTTAAATCAACTGCGTCAACCTCAGGGACTCTTTGTTGATAATGATAATACTATTTATATCGTCGATTATCAAAATCATCGTATTGTTCAATGGAAATCAGGTGAAAATTACGGTCACACCATTGCCGGTGGAAATGGCAAAGGAAATCGAACCGATCAACTGAATTCTCCAACAGATATAACTTTTCACAAGAATACCAATTCTTTTTATCATTTATGATCGAGAAAATAGGCGAGTCATTCGAATTTCAACACTATCTAAAGCAAATCCAGATACTCTTATTTCTGACATTTATTGTTGGGGTGTTACGACAGACAGAAATGGATCTGTTTATGTAGCCGATACTGAGAAAAATGAAGTAAGACGATGGACAGAAGGAGAAGATGCAAATTCAAATGGAACAATAGTTGCAGGTGGAAATGATGCAGGAAACAATCTAAATCAATTGAATTCTCCTAGCAGTATATTTGTTGATGAAAACTATTCTGTTTATATATCAGACCATAAAAATCATCGTATAATGAAATGGAGAAAAGGCGCACAAACAGGAATGATTGTTGCTGGTGGAAGCGGTCAAGGACACAGTTTATTCCGATTATCTCATCCTCGAGGCGTAATTGTTAATTATTGAGCAGTCATCCTATTCCGCAATGTTGAACATTTGGGAACCAGTTCCGCACACGGAATCGATTCCTAAGATTCCGGAATTCCGTCTTTACACAAGTTCAATGAATTCCGGAATTCCTAGCGATTCCGTGTATGACTGAATTCCGGAATTCCGTAAACGGAATTGGGTGGTGTATAGGGGAGATGATATGTGAGGGTGAAGGGTGTGGGTGTAATTCCGGAATTGGTAGGAATTCCGCGGAATTCCACGGAATTCCTAGCGATTCTGTGTATGACTGAATTCCGGAATTCCGTAAACGGAATTGGGTGGTGTATAGGGGAGATGATATGTGAGGGTGAAGGGAGTGAGTGTAATTCCGGAATTGGTAGGAATTCCGCGGAATTGTGTGTATCGAGTCCGGAATTGCTTCGGGTGAATTCCGGAATCGTGGGAACTGATTCCGCGTGCGGAGCTGATTCCCAAATGTGCAACATTGCGGAATAGGATGTATTCTCTAATTATTTAGGTCAAATATGTGTTGGAGATTGTGCCAATCATCGAGTGGTATGTTGGAATGAAGGAAGTTCTGAAGGTACAATTGTTGCAGGTGGAATCGGACCAGGAGAAAGTTCCGATAAATTATCTTCTCCAACTGGTATATCGTTCGATATTAAAGGAAATATTTATGTCTCTGATCATAATAATCATCGCGTTCAAAAATTTGCAACTGATAATAATCAGTGAATCTTTCTTTTAAATAAAATACGTTTTGTTCTCGTCTCAAATATGAAAAAATGGTATATATCATCGGTGTGAACCTACCACGAACAAACGATATCTTAGCTAAAAACTTTTTTACTTAGTATCTCCCGTCCATGAAAACTACACCACTCGACTGAGAATTTAATTCTGCATCGAATGGTGGTACTTCTATTTATGGGAGGAACTTTCGAAAAAATTTTACTTACATCTCTCTTTGCTTCCTATAGGTCTATTTATAATCCAGATAGAATTTTTCGAAAGTTTCTCCTGTGAATAAAAGTGCCACCATTCGATGCAGAATTAGATTCTCCGTCGAGTGGTGTAGTTTTCATGGACGGGAGATACTTAGTAAAAACGTTTTTAGCTAACATATGGTTTGTTTGTGCTAGCTTCACACCGATGCGTATGTCTTCCAATTGGTTGCCGTCTTTGTCCAGTGGCGCAACCAAGATTTTTAGGCCAATGGGCAAACTTCTGTTACGTAATAAAAAGATGATGGGCGAAGTGGGCAGGCTTTTTATCGACGGACCAAAAAATGTTGTCTCATCAATATGCGAAAACCACTCATAAGAGCAGAAACATAGTGAAACGAGATAACGTTTTTCTAATAAGAAACTGCAGGTATACAGAAATCTCAGGCCGAGGTCAAACGATTATTGGCATATTTTTTATGCATTGCAACATTTATATTTAAATCGAATATTAAAATCAAGACGAAAAGTATATAGCTGCTATCTAACTCGTAAATCAATATATCCATTTTAACAAGTAAAATTTGAGTGGGCAAAAACTTACTCAAAAATATTTCAAAGGGCAAAGCTCAAAGAGAAATGGGCAATTGCTCATTTGCCTCTCCCCTAGTTGCGCCACTGTCTTCGTTTAAGTTTATCAACGTCATATCGGCCATTAGTATGGCCATTATCTGATTTATCAACATTAACGTGGGAAAGAACTCGAAATTGAATTGAGAATTTCATTTTATAACTAATTAGAATTTATTTTGGTCAATCATCACCATGTATTCTGAAATTACCTCGTCTGAAAGAAGAAATTTCACTTTCAAGCACATCACAAAATGATTTTACCTTGCCAGAAGTTGCTCAAGGTATACCTATCAAATAAATACGAAAAAGTTCAAGTCATCATCAACGAATAGTTAATGAAATCGATCAAATAATTCAATTAAAAGTAAAGAAAACTATTTATATTAGTTATTATTATCTAATTAATGCATTCAGATGGATGAAGATTCTGATTGTATTGAATTTCCCGATGGTTCAATATTTGATGAAACAAAGAAAAGTATTGTTGATATTCAAACAAAATCGATAGTGTATTCCGAACTATCGCGCGACATTTCATCTTCAACATGAGAATTAAATATTCAAAATTAACCCTTTACGGCCGGCTACCAGAAAACAGCAAGCAAAAGATTATCTTTATATATATTGTTGTTAGTTTGGTTATGAGGATCAATTTTTCAGCCCCGAATTTTTGGAGAATGCCGTACCCCCTACGGCAAAGTTGTTACCGGTAGGTACCATCCGGCCGTAAAGGGTTAAAACGAATGAGGAATTTCAACAGCTGATGGTTTTAAATCGTGAAAAATTTGTTCAAAATCTGGTCGATTACGTGGATTTTGATGCCAACACTTTTGAATAAAATGTTTCAGAAAAATTGGTGTTTTTCCACTTATTCTTGGTCGATTTCCTAGTTTTGCATGATTAACAGCACCGAATGGACCTCGTCCTGCAAAATTTTGAAATTGATCTGCATACGGTTCTTCTTCTTGAAGAATTTCATTGAACATTATTCCGAAAGAATAAACATCACTTGAATATTCTGGAGGTGATGATGTAGATAAAAGTTCGGGAGCCATATAACCAGCTGTTCCACATATTTGTGATTGTTCATCAGCTATTTTTGATGATGCAATAGACGATGATGTTTTGCCACGAAGTGTAGCAAATCCAAAATCAGTTATTTTAGCTGTATAATCTTCAGTAATGAGAATATTTTGAGGTTTTAAATCTCCATGTACAATCTCAACTTTATGTAATTGAATCATTCCAAGAACGATACCAAGTATTATTTTCTTCTTAATTCTTCCATCGGTGATTTTTGCTTCAATTTGTGGATCTTCACAATAGTGAAGTAAATAACTTAATGAACCTAATTGTACATATTCCATAATTAAACACAATGGTTCTAATGTATAACCATGCAAATCGACCAAATTTCGATGTTTACCTAAACTTGACATGATTTTTATTTCTTTAACAAATGATTTTTTTTCTTGTCGAGATAATCTATTTAAATGTAATTGTTTAATAGCAACAATTTGATATTTCCATCGACCTTTATAAACAGTACCAAATGAACCTCGACCTAATGGATTCTCGAAATCAATATTTAAATCTTCATAATTAATCACTGGAATCAACTCAGAAACTTCACTACGAATATCGCAATTAATATTTCGATGTGAACGAGCTGAACGAAATGAATAATTATTATTATCATCATCATCATCATCACTCTCATCATCACGATAATTTTGTCTCAAAGGACATGAATTATTGGGTCGAGAACATAATTGATGTTGAATATCATCGGTATTGGGTAACATTTCATACTGTGGCATATCAACTTGATCTTCTCGTGCATTTTCAACCAGATTTTGAAAGAGCATATCTGCTAATTTTTTTGAATAATAATCTAAACGTTGATCTGGAGAATAATCTTTTGATGTTGTATCTTTCCATTTAAGATACTCTTGTGTAATAGCCTTTGATATATCAAATGATCCATCTTTAGTTTTTGGAATCCATGATGGTATTTCTCCTGTATCATTTTGCGCTTGTTGTTTTACCCAATTTTTCGCAGCTGTTGTTCTCATATCTGGAATACCAGTTTTCGTAACAGGGATATCTTTTGGTATTCCATGATTATTATTCGTTATTGTGTTTCGAGATGAAGAATATCGCATATCCAAACTGCCATCTTTCTTATAATGGTGTTGAGAAGAGTTATTTGATTGTATAGAAGATGCGACCGCTTTTGAAGAAATATAACGCATATCCATCGTACCATCTTTTTTGTAATGAAGTTCAGATGAAGTTGGCGGCCGACTGCTAGATGGTGCAAGAGATGCAGAAGCAACTCTTGATGAACTATAACGCACATCTAAACCACCATCTTTTTTGTAGTGCAATCCGGAGGAAACTGGCTGTCGGCTGATAGACGATGCAGCTGCAGATGTAGAAGCAACCCTTGATGAACTATAACGCATATCCATCGTACCATCCTTTTTGTAATGAAGTTCAGATGACGTTGGCGGTCGACTGCTGAATGGAGTAGCAGACGCAGAAGCAATTCTTGATGAACTATAACGCATATCTAAGCCACCATCTTTTTTGTAATGAAGTCCAGAAGATGCATTTGATCCGTAATTCATAGGAGAAAAGTGTCCACCACCTGAAAATCCTGAAGCACCCATACTAAAACCAGAAGACATCGCTGCTCTTGATGAACTATATCGCATATCTAAACCACCATCTTTTCTGTAATGTAGTGCCATGCTTATTTCCCCAACTTATCGTTGTTAAAAATAAGAATATGTTTTTTTCTTGTAGATTGAATAGAAATATTTTCACGTATGGCTCGTTTTATAAAAATTTTGACGTGCACCAGATGATGAATATATGTTTTTTATTCTTGTATGTGTTCTCTGTTATTTGGTTTTTTTCCCAGTATCTGTTATGATTCAGTCTGGGTATAGAATAATGCGTGACAACCGAGAATACAGAACAGCAAGAAAACAGAGCGTTCGCAATGGTTTGAAGCTGATCATTAAATTTCAAAGGAAACTCTCTTTCAATGACTCACACGTCTCATTACAGTTTTATGTAACATATGTTTCTTGAGAAAAAAAATGAAATTTCATATTTTTGAATCTATTTGAATCGTTTGAAAACCATGATACAGCTGATAGACTAATTTTGTTCAAATTTAGAAAAGAATTATTGTAAGGGTGTGGGTGAGGGTGAAAATTTTCTATGATTGGAACCTACGGTAAAACGAATCCGCTGGAGAAAATGTCGAATCCTGCCCGAAGGTATCGTACGTAGTTTTACTCCAGTTCAGTTCACGAACTGAACTAAATTTATGTGTACCCCTACTAATTAGAGCTGTTTAGTATGCTCAAATAGTGAGTGCACTACTATAATCAGTCAGAGCGTCCGGCATCCAGACTGATCATCCATTTACATGACAAATCTGAAAGAAACAGTCTTATCGTTGTGTAATTTTCTAGTTTGGTTCCATCAGAACCGCAGTCATATTCAAAGATATGCCTAATCAGCTGTGGCTTTTGGAGGTCACTAAAAAGTGACCGTCTCTTCTTGCAGGATGTTCCCATGTTTTCTCTTATACTTTTTGCAATCCATTTCACTTTCGGATAGGATCCGAACTTTCTGCATTTATTTTAGAGGAATTTTTGAATAAGTCGTTATTTCATTGTGTTAGCTTCACATCAGCGAATCGAACTCATGTCGCCTCTTTTTCTAGGACTGCGTCGCAAACGCACGCAACTGCGACGCACTTACCGCATTTATCTAGCGAATCTATTGGATTTTTTTGAATAATAACCGTTAGTGCTAATAATCGAGTATAAAAATGGATGAAAAAACCATTTAAGCTCATTTTTTCAGTTTACAACTACGAGATAATTTGATAAGATAACGGTTAATTTCGTAGGGTAAGTGGCGCTTAAAATATGATGAGTCATCTGAGAGATGAGTCATCTTTTTCAACTGATGAAATTCGAGATTACAATTATCATCGTTAATACGATAGGACATACTATTTTTTCAGGTGATGAGCGATGGATGGCTGTTAGGAATGAATTATAGATGCCTGCCCGGGTCGAACAATCCCATACTCGGATCCAATATAGGATTTTATCAAATCCTACAGGAATTCGACGGTCTGAAACATGGATTTACTGGATTTTCTAAGGGTCATCATAGAATATAGCTAAATAGATCGCTCATAAAATTTGCAACAACCGAAGGGATTTTTCTAGTCGGATTCCAATGCAATTCCGTTTCCCGGAATCCGATCGGATTTGTTGTCCTGGGTGGGTATCATCGATGATGCATAGGTGAGTGCTCTTCATGTACTTCGGTCATTGATAGGTTGGTGGATGCCGCGAATGGGCCATAGACAAGTGAAAGGCGGACCATTATTGTCGAAAAGTGAAGAATGACGGTGAATGTGTACGACTATCGGTAAAAGCAAGATCTCTCTAACGATCAGCCCCTTTGACTGATATTATTTCGTTTACTATAAACGTTTCCGTTGTAAAAATCGTGTGCTTCTGAGATGATTTGATAAAGAAGAGTAGATGAATTATAACGCACAAAAGTTTAGGTGGTTTCATCACCAATTATAATTGTAATGTTGTCAGAACATGCGTGTTTTTTTATTTATAAGTAAACATCTAACCCAGCGAAATAAAATCACTCTAGTAACAATTTTTCACATAATACTTATTTTTCTTCTTTCTGTTGTTTTTCTTTCCATGTTTTCACCTTATTACGGTCGGTGACGCAGAGGAAGAAAGAGATTTCGTGATTTTGTGATTTTGTTTATTTTATGTGATTAAAAACTGAATTCAGCTTTTGAAATCGGGTTTGCCCCACTGATCGATGAATAGTAACGATAAAATATATAGGAAGTAAATGACTATAAAAAGAGAAATACAACTGTTCACATATAGTTATTTATACCATTCGATAATACTTTTCAGCTGTATTATGAATTTCAAACTGTTTTTATTTGAGCTTTTTATTGTACTAGTAACAAAATCACCAGTTTATGAAGCAGTGATATGTGGTGGTGGTGTTGTTCGCCCTGGTAATGCTTGCTGTGGCAATGTAGGCTACTACTCAGGTACCAATACTTGTTGTGGCGGTGTTGTTCGCCCTGGTAATGCTTGCTGTGGCAATGTAGGCTACTACTCAGGTACCAATACCTGTTGTGGTGGTGTTGTTCGCCCTGGTAATGCTTGCTGTGGCAATGTAGGCTACTACTCAGGTACCAATACCTGTTGTGGTGGTGTCGTTCGAGTTGGTGGTAAATGTTAAGGTAATCTTTTCAAACAGCGAACTATATACATATACACGTTTGTATTGCCTTTAAACCCTCTCTATCCCGCCCCTCCCCCATAATAGAAGCTCGTCTCATATTAAAAGCCCCCTTCCCCTGGAAGGAGGAACATGTCTTACATATTAGAAGCTCTCTATATCTTAAAAACTTTTGGACGGTTTTCGGCAGGGTTTTACCCTTTTTTACAATGGCTTTTGAGTAAAACAAAGACACTATATATTTTTCATTTTGAAGATAATATTGGAAGAAAAGAAATAGCATTAACTATATTATAGCTACCTGAAAATTACTAACGCAGCAACTCATAATTCCTGTTGTTTCTTTTTTTTGTAGAAAGTTATGCCAGTATATCAAACATGCAAACAATAAAGCCGTGTCCAGACGTGACTTTTCACAGTAAACCATTTTTTTTCAAGATGTTTTATTTTTACATTTGATATATTCTTTTCTTTATTCCGAATAAATACTTTGTTTACACAGTAAATCGTACATATGATGATATTAAACACTAACTAGAACGTTACCACTTTTGATTATACATAAAATTGCGGGTGAGAGTGAGAGTGACTTTGGAGCTAAACTACCACAATCCGAATTTCGATTCTACTTAAACGAATCATTCACCAGGTGGTAAGGAATCTGCATTACGAATTTAGAAAAACCCGAAATGAACCTGAAAAGATTAAATTGAATTAATCCTCCAAAGTCCATCTCACGAGGAAGGGCCACCAACTGATAAATCGCTTTGCACCTAAAATATAGTAGACCACAGGTAACCGATAATGCTGAATCCTAACACCAGAGTATTTGCGGTTAATGCGATCTCCGAGATCCTGGTTTTCCGAAAAAACAGGATTTTTGCACAAAAAAATTTTTCAGCATGATTTTGTGGAACTCACATTATTTTTCGAAGAAAAATAGTGAGTGTAAGTTTTGTATCGAGGATCTTTGGATCCTCCGCCCCCATGGGCCGCAAGCCGCTACGAAGTCACAGGGTGCAAGGACGACAGGAGCTATACAGGCTCAGCCCTAGAGGACTACAGGCGCTACACAGGACGCAGACACTGGAACGATTATTGTAGCCGTATGACCTATAGAAGTATTAGAAATGTAGAGAGTATTAGAGTTATGAAACATAGAAAAATGTTATTCCCTTTTCTGAAAGAAAGGGCTATAGCGTCATAAATCAGGCCACTAAAATGCAATAAGTTTGTTTGTTTGTTTGCATAATCCAATCAGATTGCAGCATTTCATAAATCACTGAAAACTTAACCAACATCATTAGAAAATGACTAATGACAGGTAATCGGGGTCGAGGATCACGAATCCGTGGTTAGTTTTTCGAAAAAACTTTTTGCTTCGTTTTTTGGGACAAAGGATCACTTTTTTTGCGAAAAAATGTTTTTTTATAAGGGTTGACCGAAGGGTAATCGGGGTCGAGGATCACGAATCCGAGGTTAGTTTCTCGAAATTCTAATTAACTCATTAGCTAATTAAGTAATGAAAATTTTCTTGGATGTCGAGTAAGGGTCGACCGAAGGGTAATCGGGGTCGAGGATCACGAATCCGAGGTTAATGTTGCTTAATTAATTATTAATTTTTCATTAACTAGCCACGACTTATTAACATCCGTTTCCAGAGTAGACCAAAGGATTTCTGCCGTCGGGAAATTCGAATTTGAGGGCGAATTTCGTTTTATTCGCTGAGCCTGGGCTTGTTCCTTTCTCTTTACAAAGGAGATATTTTGCTTTATCTGTTCTAAAATCTTTTGTAGAAGATGGTGAGCTGAACGCTATTCACGGACGTCATGTGTACAAAGATAGTAGCTCAAGAACTTACACGAAAAGATCTAATGCATTTTACATAATGATGTTTCTAATTCAAGAAATCCGAAAAAGTGATATGAGCTTAGTATCATCTTTGCTTTGTAGGCTACATACATCATGGTCTTTCATGGGAATTTAGTAGAAGTGGTTCGTAAAGTGATATGCCCGTCGGTGGAATTCCATCTTAGTAACTACAGACGCGTGGACTGTAGAAACAGTATCCTGAACACCTGCAGCGCTATGAAAGATGTTCGCTTCGGAGCAAATCGTACAATAAGACTTTCTTATCTAGTTTCTTTGGGTAGTCGAATGAATAGAAGATCATGACTGCAGAAGCGACAATAAAACCCATGTCGTTCAATTTTTCATAGTAACGGCGCTATAGCGCCAAAACGGCATATTGCGCCGTTATTGAGCACAATGTTGGTGTTAATTATCGTGATATACGCAAACGATCTGTGCGTCGCAATCACGTGGAATAGCGTCGCTAACTTCGCTATTTTTATTTATAAAAAGAGTAACTGTGCAGTACATAATGATGTCATCAGTTATTTGACGATTTGATTGGTTGTAATTTCATACCATTTATAAGCTTTCAATATTGTTTCGATTCTTCACGATATTTTGCCTATTATCTTTGCCATTTGAAATTTACATCGGAATAAAATTAAATGTATTCATACTCTTATAAAGTAATAAAGCGACGTCTTATTCGACAGGCAAGGCGACAGTCACTTCATCATGCCCTTGCCTCTCCCAAAAGCTCTACAGATGACTATTCAACTGACGAAAATCCCGAATCAACAAATATGGAAGTGTACTCGTTAAAATCCAGAGATAATAGTGATATTCCATACTCCTCATCTACTGATCAGATTGACGAGGATAACTGGATAAGTGATGATGAATGTCAAGAAGAGAAGCGGCCAATTTACACTGGTTCCTCAATAATGCTCAGTTCTGCTGTCCGCCTAATTAATGACTTTTATTTAAATAACAATCTTGATAAACAAACAGTAAACAATCTACTTCGATTAATCAAATCGTTATTACCACAGCCGAATTTATTACCGCCCACATGGAAAGGCATAAACAAGTTGCTCCATTATACTCCATTAACATCAACTACTTTTCTTTGTGGCGATTGTTATGAAGCGTGTGAAACGTCGGGTTCGTCTAGCAAAAAATGCTTTAATCCACGTTGCAAAACATCGAAAGAACAAAATACTCCTGAAATCGTTGAAATTGTCCGATTCGACATACGCGCACAAATCCAATCAATTATGAATCGAAATATATCACTTTTAAATCAATCGCATCTTTTCCCGCTTAGTGATATATGTTTCGGCGAACAATATCAAGAAGTTAAGAATAACAACAATAGAATTACTCTCGTTGTTCATTCAGATGGTGCACCGCTCGTTCGCTCATCAAAGAAATCCATCTGGCCTTGTTTCGCATCAATCAGCGAATTACCTCCACCTGTTCGAGAATTTCAAAAAAACATAATTATTTTAGCAATTTGGACGTCAAGAAAAAAGCCAAATGTTAATATTTTCTTAGAGCAGACCATAGATGATCTCATATGCTTAAAAAAGAATGGAACATCAATCTTTATTGCAAACAGTGAATATCAAATTCAACTTGCTACCCAATTTTTCGTTTCGGATTTACCAGCAAAAGCTCTCTTTTGCTGTACAACGAACTTCAATGGATATTCTGCATGCACATACTGTGCTAGTAGAGGTACAATGTGTAGTTAATGATGTCTTTCAAAAGGATCTTTGTAGGAATATGGAGTGCCGAATACAATAAAGTTCTTTATCCATATGCGAATAACGATCTCACAACTCGCACACACAGTGGTTACTTAAAAGCAGCTCAAGAAGCTTTACATAAATCAAACGGTAAGAAAGAAGTTGCTGTCGATGGTATTAAAGGTCTTTCGTCTTTGCTTCAAATATTTAACTATCCTAAACAGATAATCTATGACTTCATGCATCTCGTCTGCTTGGGTCACATTCCTTACGTGATTAATCGATGGTGTCTAAATATGGGTAAAGAAACAATATTGGAAATCGATAACGATCTTCGACAGCTACGCATTCCACACAACATGAGAGTTGTTTTTCTTGAATCGTTTAAAATGGCCTCACAATGGAAAGCAAAAAACTCTCGCCTTTTCGTACTTCACGTCGGAGTACCCGTGTTGGTTAATCGTCTACCGATTCTTCTGTTCTCTCACTTTATTGTTTACTCATTAGCAATCAAACTCCTGCATGCACCTACAACCAAGGCAGAGATTTCGTTGGCTGAGCGTCTACTTCATTTTTACTGCCGTACAGCATCAAATGTCTATGATAGATCGATTGAAATATTTTCACTGCACGCTCATATTCATCTACCATATCAAGTTCGTCAACATGGTGGTTTAGCACACATGTCAGCTTTTGCTTTCGAATCAGCTATTCGGTACATCCAGAAAAAAGCTCATGGATATACTAATTTGGCTTCCCAAATCGGTTATTGGATTGACATTCAACGTGCCACCCAATCGCATGTATTTGATTTACCTAGACCTCATCTTATAGACGTAAGTAAACATAATCACAACTTAACGAACAAGATTGTGTTTACTGTGTACACAAACAAGTATTCACGATCCTTGGATATTAATATAAGTCTACGCCGATAGATAAACAATTATGTCATGTGGCTCTTTATTTCACATAATGATCGAGACGGACTGAAATTCTTTCTCTCTTCATACCAGTCAGTAACGCTCTTTCAAAAATCACCGGACGGACGAACTGTTCTCTTACTTGTCGCTCTTACATACATGCAATACATGAGCGGACGAGCAGAAAAATAGCGATTTCTTTGTTGGTAGTATCGAAACGACATTCACGACTGTATTCATTTAGAAGTTACATGGAAATGATCCGACAGTGCTTCGATATTTATCGATTATCCAACAGTTACTACCTACTACCACTTCTGTTGATATTCAAACAGTATGCTTTTACAAACGTTATAAATCAATGTTCGTTACGTATCATACTTCTCTGTATGACCTTCCATTCAATTCCAATAGCCATGTTATATCTTTCGTTGAGACTGCGGAGTCGAATGTAGTTCAATATGCAAATGTTATTTTATTTATTTCTCAAAATGATAAAGATTTAGTTTTTGTCCAAAAATATTTGTCGGCCCAGAGGCAAATATCAAGTTATGTAGAGCTCCCAAATGAATTACATGATCCAATCAACAGATATTTTCCTATCTTATCTCTGTCCAACAATTTTGGTATTATTCCAGTATCCAATATTCGTCACAAGTGTATTGCAGTTCCTGTATCCAAGTCATTTTCAGTCGTCAAATCGAAACAGTGTGCATCAGCAGACGTAGATGGATGCGTTATGGTTCAATCAGGAGGTAAAAAGTACATGGGCTTTATATTTGAGACAGGTGAGATTTGAGTTTTAGGAAAAGGAGATAAATCGTATTTATTTAGGTACATTTGAAAAATGTAGTAAAGCTGCTGATTTATTGTCGCAAAAACAGCATGAAGACATCGAAAGTGATTATGAACGAAAAGAAAAGTCCTCGAATGTCAATGATTCCAAACCATCTGGTAATGTAGATTAGTTTGATCCAAACCCCAATAAAGGCATTATTCTAGAGGCAAAAACATTTACTACATTGAAGGATGTACCATTTTCTATCGACCCAGTTCCAAACAATTTTGATCAATTTTCATGTGAACCTCCTGTACTTAATTCAAGTAAATAAATGAGAGACAATGGACACTTCAGCGTTGTTTTTCTTAAAATCAATATGTTCTCATTTGTTCTAGACGACACAAACGTTTCAACACCTATTCGACCGCAGAAAGCTGTGGATAATTCACGGAAAACTGCAGGTTAGTCGAAAGATATTGAAAGAGAAATGCCTACTTGACAGTGTAGATTGACCACGAAGTCGAAATGGAATTTTTTCAAAAGGTTCGAAACAAATAGACACAACAAATAGCTCAAGTCAGTTAACGTTTTCATTCGAATTCTTATAATAGTATGAATATTTAGCAATTTCCACCACACCGATGGCTTCAATTGTTGCGGAAACCAATTCTTCGGCGGTGATTGGAAAGAATTCAAATCGCGAATCAATAAGAAACTCACCAGATTCACCGTTGGCTGCCAATTCTCGCAAGAGGACTTTCGACGACTCTTCTCCTTCGCCGCCATCCAGAAGTAAAAAGAAGAAATCAAAGAAAGGACGAGAGTCACATATCACCTCATCTGAATCTGAATCTGATTATAATGGTATCACAAAAACAGTCGATGAAATAAGAACGCCTATTTTCAATGGTCGTCGTTTAATCACGCCTGCTGCTGCGAGTTCACCCATCGCGAACTCAATTGATAAAGATTCTTTATTAAGAGCGATAGAAACCAAATACTTAACACCCTTATTAGTTGGTCAAGAGCGTTTGGAAAAAATGATGAAGTCTTTGTACAAAAACCAAGTGGAAATACAAAAGGCTTTGAAGAAAAGACAGGTAAGAATGGTAGAGTTATCATCATTCAGACAGAAAATTCTATCTTTTGCAACTTTAGATGCTTGTTTCGATAGAAGAGCCTGGTACTCCAGGTGAAAATGGCACAGATTTTTCGTCGACATTGGTAACTACAGTATTTAGTCAGATTGTAATTACTAAACTTTTATTTAGTCCTACAAGACACATGCAACTGATAAATCAATTGATTTACTCAAAATCCCAGGAACAAAAGAAAAAGCTAATTTGTACGTTACAAACCTGATCCAGATTATGTATACGATGGATGAGTTAGCTGAGTTACAGCCGGCTGATACTTATGAGGATTACAGATACCAATTAATTAAAGGTAATGAATCTTTTATTCGAAGAATATAATTTTTTTTGCTTTCAGAAGCCGTTCGATCCAAATTTAGATTGAATGGCGATCAACTTGAACAAATGTTTACAGATTGGTTACGTGAAGTCTTTTTGGCAAAGAGACGGGTGGCAGTTTCGAAGCTCAAACGTTCACAGCAAAGCGAATAGAGTCTTTCGGCTTGAAGCGTTTCCTTTTTTGCTGTGTAATTAGTTAATTTCTATGATTGAAATAAAAGTCGAAAGATAATTATCAAATATGTTTCTAAATAAAACAGCCAATATCTGGTAAGCTTTACCAATAATAAAGGAGCTATTTGGTATTCAAATACATGAAAATGCGGCATTATAACGCTTTATAACAGTTGATAACAACGTTATATCGCGCGATAACGCCCATAACGATCGCTAAAAGGGGTCATAATGCGATCGCTATATTAGCGTTATAACGCCGCTATTTTATCGCTATCGACGACATGGGAAGAAAACCCAATCGTTCAGTTTGAAAGTCGCTCGAAGGCGAAAGGAACAACAGAGACAGCATGGCAACGGTTAGCCGTGAGTGACCGACCGGATGGAGGTCGACGAACGACTAGGTGTTTAAATACTAGATTAATCCTAAAGTGTACGCTTAGAATAACCTTGCCAGGCTTCAGATAATTTTGAAAGGGATTTCACGAATGAATATTCCTCAATGAAAATATTCGACAAGGTATCATTTCGTTGACAGGAGAGAAAAGAATCGGTTTATCGCTGGAAGACAAAGGCGAATGTTCACACTTTTCAAGCAGTCTACTGTATATCGTCCGTCTATGAGTGACTTAGTAAAGCATTTATGAAAATTTCCATGCGCGTGATATGAAAATAGAAAAACAGATTACAAAGGTCAATGGTTGGCCGTGAGTGGCCGACTGACTAGCCGTTGAGGGATGAATTTTTCAGTCAACATAGTGAGTGCTGGAGAATTATCCACTGACAAATGGCTAATCGGTCTGGTTCCTAGAAAGACCTCTGTATCCTATTTATTCTAGTTCTAGTGTGTGACATAGTACCATGATTCAGTTGAGCACCAGTAGCAATCGCAGTGCGTTTTTTCTCTTTCGAAGTCTCGGAATGTGTTCAGCATTCGGAAAAGTCTTTCAGAAAAGGGTCAGCGAATCCAAAGAATGAGCGTTACTTGTTCTCATACTGTTCACGATATTTTTACATATCTTTTTCTTATAATTAGATGTCAATGTGAATGTCAACGTTCAAATTAGCCGTGGTAATCCTCGCCAAAAAGATCGTCGTGAACGTCGTTCGCAAATCGAAGGTAAAGATGACCGCCG